TTAAAACTATGTGCAGGTGAACTGGATGCCTTTCGGCCCGAACCCTAGTGTTAGGGTACCCAGGACCCTGTACACGGGACTCATTCAGTATCGTAAGATCGTCGAGGCGTACATGCCCCAGCGTTGTCTTCGCCAGCTTGGATTTGTCCAAGTTGTCCCTCCTCCCCCGGCATGCCCGATGAAGGCGGTCCGACCTGCATCTTCGAGGGACTACGTCGTGCAATGGCCGGATATCATGACCGGGACGTGGGACCAGTTTCCGATGGTGGCCCGCTTATGGACTGCGGAGTTGCAGCGGCCGCCCTCTGGGGTTACTCCAATGTGTGACCATTACTACATGGAATGGTTCAACCGGTATTCGCACCCGAGGTTGATCGCAGATCTCGACCACAGCGATGATGATTATGTGCCACCGCCTACTGCCATGGAAGCGGTATGTCTTATATTATATTTATCGTTGTCTTTTAATTAAGTTTTATATGTTGTTATTGTATTTCATCTTCTGTTTTTTGTTGTATGCAGTGGATGGGAAAGATAATGCAGGACGTACAGAAACTCTCTCTTGAGAAGGACAGCATGAGTGCAACAGGGAGAGCTGTTGTTGATTGTCTGGAACAGACCCTTGCGCAGTGGGAGTCGTCGTCGAGGAGGGATTACTGATGGTTTTGTCATTTTATTTATAGAGCACTTTAAATATCATCGTTTTAATTTATTAAATTGGACATTATGTTGTAAGTTTGTAACATTTTAGATTGTTCTTTTAGCTTCCAACTTAATCATTGCTGTTTTTAAATTTTGATATAACTGTTCGTGGATCCGCGCAACTTACCCATGCAACATATAGAATGCAGTAAGCAATACAATGTAAAAGATTAATGTTCTCATTAAAAGAGCAACGTACAAATAAGATTACAAATAAAGAATGTAAACATGAAAAACTAAAATGCAGCTAGGGTGTTCCATTCGTGGATCCGGTCATGATATAGCGCATCCCAACCCTCTACGCTCGCTGTGCGAATGTTGTACCACCGAGGTATAATCGGTGGCACTGGAAAATCGGATGACATGTCTAGTCGGATGAAATGTCTGTATGACGACCCAAGAAACGCAATAGCTAGCTCTCTGACCGGTGTGGTGACAGTCTCACGCGACCGCCAAGGGAGAACCGTGGTACAAGGATAATAAGCTTGACTATGCACTCCCAGGCCGAAATGCATGACTGCGCATTTGTAAATGTTTGCAACAGCAAACAGATCTAGGGGCGCGTCAAAATAATGATTTTGGCCGCAAGGTCCACCTCCCCACCGGATACGCCGCAGAGCGCCATCCAAGTCATCCTGGTACACATGACGATAAACATTTCGGTTAGAGGCAATTTCGTTGTATATCAACTGGCGCACCAAACCGTAGTTGTCTTCGCCCATTTGAAAAACATCAGCCACGACCCGGAATCCGCAGTTACCATCTCCGACTACATCATTCCACCCTTCCAAGTACGGCATGATGATCGCAGGTATCCTTTCCTTGTACGGAAACTGATCAACATCGTTTCTTCCTATTCACCATATAATTATAGACAGTTAAGAAGGCAGGAGTAACACTTTAAAACTATGTGCAATGTAAACAACCAAAACGTACCAGTTCTCAGGGGCATATTCACAGACAATGAAGATTGACTACGACTAGATGACGATGTCCGACCACGAGCACGACCACGACCAAGACCACAGATATACTCAAACGCACTCCTGTTCCGCCGTTGTCGACCTCGAGGACGGTCAACTCCTTCGGGTTCCTCATAATCTAAGGTAGACGTGTGGAACATGTCATGAAGTACATGAGTAGCGTCACGAATAATAGAAGGATGGCTGGAGGACACTCGGTCGTACATCGAACGAAACTGCTCCAACTCCTCCTGTTCACGGTCGGCCGTTTGAGTGTCTGCATGCTCACCAATAACAAGCGTCCTCCAGAATGAATGGACCTGATCAACATGTAACGACGCCCTTTCTTCTGTAATAACGCGGTGAATGGTGCATGCGCAAGGTAATCCATGAGTTACTGAAATAGCACACCCACACCGAGCATACACTTCGTCAGCCAAGTCCCTCATCCTGTTCAGCTCAGTGAGAATCAACCCCAAGCAGTAGTGCGACACACGACCATGGAGAATCTTAAATATAAAATGGCTATACATCGTACCATGTCGTCGTCTGGAGTCCTCTAGAGAGTTCCTGATGTCGTTCTTCTGAGTTTCAATTGACTTGTTCAGTCTAGCGAACAGTGTATCCAAAGCAGCGGTCGATGAATCAATCCAGTCCTTGGTAGCTCTGTGAGCGCTCTCAACTCTACATGTTGTAGTGTTCCCAAAATGAAGTACCTGGTTTGTCCAATATTTGACAAACTTTTCCCTGTGAGGGACCCATTGATGCATCACATAGTCCACCAGTGCCGGACACCACTGGTACGAAATGCTCGCTCATACGCTTCCTCTGTGGTAGCCTGTAGGATCTTCCGCCACTTACCATTCACCAATCTCTCTGCCATTTCCAAATTCTTCTTGAAAAGGTTGTAGGCTTTCACTTTCACGCAGTTGTTGATGTGCCATGTGCACAATAAGTGGTTCGATTCGGGAAACAGCTCTGTTATGGGGGCAAAGAGACCTCCCTCACAGTCGCTGACGATGGCTGCTGGATGAACATTAGGCCCGATGTAGTTTCTCAGCTTCTCCAACACCCAATAATAACTTGGAGCCGTCTCATCCTTGATGATTGCATGACCAATCAGAAAGTTCTGGTTCGTTGGAGCCATCCCAACCATCTCAACCAGTGGGAACTTGTACTTGTTTGTCTTGTACGTTGAGTCGATCAAAATCACAAATGGCCAAGACTTGATCATATCAGCACAATCAGGATGCACAAGGAAAAGATGAGTCACCTCCGCTGTATCTTCATCAGAATCAAACCAGAACAGGTAACCACGTGATTGTGCCTGGTGTAGCAGCTGCTGTATAGGGTTCCTTCCCTCTGACCGTTCAAACCTGAGTTGCTGTCTGACGTTGTAGATGTGTCTTCGGTTTGGATGGTCTTCTGGAAATTTCTCTAACACAGATGCTAATATTTTAGCAGGCTTCACTTGAGCATCACTCATTTCTTTCACAACTAGTTTCGCAGCAGGACTTAAGCCGCTCAGTTGTCGATGACCCTCTTCATATACTATCATCTCATGGTTGTGATACCCCCATTTAGAGTAACCAATCACTTCCCAACCGTCACGACTCCGTAGTTGTCGAACCTTTACTCTGAACTCACACCCACAACCTTTCCGCTTTGTATCAAACCGAGTGGCTGTACGAAAATCTCTTTCTTCTCTTTTGCGATAACGGTCACATCTCAAAATGCGATCCATTCTACCATCCCGTTGAGATTTATGAGTTACTACTACCAAGCAAAATCCAGCTGCAATTGCAACCTGTTTTGCCCAATCAATCGCCTGTTGAGCTTCTTCGAATGGACCATCATGTCCAAATATCCCACTGTAATCATTTCCGTCTCCACCATATTCCTGCATCAATTATATATTACAATAAATACATTTAACGGATAATACATTTAATTTCTATATTTACACAGAATTAACACAAAAAAAGCATAATTATATATAATCAAACTTAATTTTTATAAAAACCCAATTTAAATTTTCAAACTAAATTTAAAAATATACCATTTCGAATTTTCAAATTTAATTTTAAAAAAACCTATTTCGAATTTTCAAATTTAATTTAAAAAAAACCCATTTCGAATTTTTTTAAAAAATCATTTTCGATTTTTTTTTTTAAAAAATTAAATAAAAAACAACAACAAAATCAAAAAAGAAAAAAAAAAATAATTTATAAGGGTGGCGTCTGCCAGGGCTGCCACAGCCACTGGACTGGCGCCTGGCAGGGCCGCCTCAGCCAGTAGAGTGGCGCCTGGCCAGGACGCCAGTCTGGTGGTCTGGGCTGGACGCCACTCTGGTGGTTCTGGCGTCTGGCTTGGACGTCCAGGCTACGGTATGGGCGTCTGGCTTGGACGTCCAGGCTACGGTATGGGCGTCCATCCTAGGCGCCGGAGCCACTCCGACGGTAAACCGTGAATTTTAACGGTGACTTACCTCGTTTTCCGTCGACGACGACGTACCTCCGGCGTCCCCCGCATCTCCGGCCTGCCCTCCGGTCTCCCCCGGCGAGCCAGTAAGGCTCCACATTTTTTACACCGAGATTATTTCAATTTTAGAAAATGGACATAATGGTCAAACCATATCATATTTGTGGGCTTTATATGGTAAATTGCGGGCGATGTTTAGCACTAGAACAAAGGAGAAAGTAGGAAGACGAAATAGATGCAGAAAATACAAAAAGAGAAGAGGTCGCAGATATTTTGCGAATTGCGGTTTAGTGTGCGTATCTTATGCAATATGGAAAAGCCAATAGGTCGGTTAAGTTGGTCAGATAAAGGGCATGCATGTTTGACACCACCTTTTGATTTACGAAATCACGGTTGATATTTTTAATACAGAGTAACACTTTGTTGACTACTTGATTGTAACATATCCGTTAGCTAACACTTTCTAGTTACTCCGTTGAATAGGGCCTAAATTATTAACTCTATCGAATTTTAGGTGAAAGGTATAGCTTTGATATGCAATCTTTAGGTGGAAACTATGTCAACTTCCAGGTGGGGATTATAGACTTTTAATCTTAGACACTCGGCACAGCGTCGTAAAGTTGATATTATAAGCATTGAGTCGTTGATTTTTCAATAATGTTGCATTTTAATTACTTATGGAGTTATGGAGGATTATCTTATTTGATATTATTTAAATAAAGTTTGCTTTACATAATGTCGTGCTCTTCATCGTAGGTCACTCACTTAATATAATATCTTTTTGTGGATGATATAAATTTTAATTCTAAATAAAAACAAAAGTTTTTGGGTTATATTGTGATTTTTTTTTTTAAATTTTTTTTTGTAAACTTGTGGTAATATTACTTTGTTATACATTACATTTAAAGAGACCATGTGTTTGGTTGAATTAAGTTATGTAAGAGGTCATACACCTTTGAATTTTAAATTGTTACATGTTTGAACAATATGATTGGGTTCACAGTTTGGAGTAGCCGCTTAAAAGTTGTTAATGTAAAAGTATTAAATATGGATTATGATTTATGAACAACATAAAAGTAATTAATACCTCCTCTGTTTTTTTTTTTTTAGTTGACACCTTTCTATTATCACGCTTGCTAATGCATGTATTTTTTAAGATAACACATGTTTTTTGTAGCCAAAGGGGTTAGCAAACTTCAAACAAAACAAGGTAAAATTAAATTTCATATATACAATATACCTCATAAAAATTATGATCATAAGATCCATAACAAGTAAAATATCACTCATAATTCTAATGACTATTGAATGTTATTCATACATGTGATGCCAAAAACTTTTTAGCCGAACTTAACCGGTAAACACGTACATTTCTTGTGACTCCCTTTGTACTTTTGTCGAGTTACTTTGGTTTGTTTGTCATTTGAGGCTACGAAGGGAGATGATATGTGATGTACCTTTCCTCGATAATCCACGCTCGTCTTTCCAATATAAATAAGGGAGACTTTACAGTAATTCGGAGCGCTTTTTTGGATTAATGCTCCTTTACTTGATCCTTTTATCAATCGTCTGTAAAAAGTTTAATTTATTATCAACACGCCATGAGAAAGTTTATCAATGGTTAAATTTATAGTAATAAGGAAAGACATATACAAGGAGATTGGTGCTTCAATGATTAAAATACCTTGCAAGGTTTTGATGCTTGGTGCCCATAAAAAGAGAAGTCATGTTGAGAACTGGAATAAGATCCAAAATCGCCTTTGTTGTTTCACTTGACTCAATAAGTATGGTATCCACATTTACCTGAAATGTTATGACGGCATTGCAATGTGAAATTCTTGTATTTATATTTATATGTATTTTTCAAGTAAGTAAAATATTACACTTGATTACAAGCATTATACATATCACTTTATATGCCAAGCTAAATAGAACACTCTATAATTAAACATTCAAAAAGTCATTATTTTCTCTTGCAACCCTATTTTTTTTAATTAAAACCCAAACATAACATTAATTATATGAATAACGCAAGTTAAACCACTTTTAAGAATTTTAAAATGAATCGTTTAAAAGATCTTTGCAGAATCTCTATTGCCTAAGATTGATCTTTTTTTAATTTTTTCGATACAGTTCCTCCACCACCTTGAACCTCCTTACGATGATCATTTAGTTTACTCCCACCACCAAATATTGCTACATATGAAGTAATTATATACGAAGTAATTATATTGATTTACAATTCAAAATGAAATCACATGTTTTTCGCTTACTTATCCTCAATTCTCACAATTAATTAATATTATTATAATTTTTCAACACAAGAATTATTCACAATTTTTGGTGGCTACATAATTAATAAATTAATTTTGTAAAATGTACCTTGTTGTCAAGACAAAGGCGAATGTATTTGTTCAATAAATTCTTCCTCTTGTTGTGCTCTTCAATTGCAAAAATCTTGCTTTGCTCGGGACTCAATTGACCAATCCACAACCTTCCAACTGAAAACGGCATCGTATTAACAACTAGTTAGCAACACGCAATTCAGCTGTTTATTTGTCGCAAATTGACATATTCTCACATCTTCTTCGATCAGACGATCACTCAACATGATATATCATTATCCCTCTTTATTTTTTTACCGTTTCTTTTCCTCCTTGATCTAAAATGACAACAAATTTTTTTGAAATTAAAACTTTCTTAAATATCTTGACAAATTATAAAGCAAAAAATCTAGAGTTAATTCTACAGTCCTACACTCGTTAGTGCAGAATTAAAAAGACATGTAACATAGCTTAGCTATGTAATACGTACCTTTTTTAACTAAAAGAACTCGAAATTAAAGTCGCCACATCTAATACTTACGCAAACTTATCATATCTAAAAGACTTAACTTAGTATGATCCAAACTGTTTAAACACTCTTCTTCACTAACTCAAAGAAAAGGATCTAATCATCATCAAAAAAAAAAAAAAAAAAAAAAAAAAAATAAAGATCATCGGATGCACTAAAATGATGACCTATTTATACATTATATACTTCATAAAAGTATTAAAGAGGTATTTGGGAGAAGATGATAAGATATGACACGACAAAATATGCTAAAATCAATGCAGTTTTGCTTAGGCACGCAAGTCCGGCACGATGACACATGGGTCTGGGCTGTGCACGGACCAACTTTTTGAAAACTTCGGCCCAACACGAAACTAGTGGGCCGAGCCTAGCTAACCCCAAAGCACGTGGGTCTGACACGAGGCACGACCTGGCATGGTGCAGAGCCATCTTCAGAGGTGAGTATCACATCCCCTAATTTTATTGTTAGAACCTATGTTATGCATGGAATGCTTAATATGCTACTAGCCTAAACCAAGAGGTCGTGCAAGTAAATCACTCGTACTCTTACATATAACATACTACCTCCATTATATATTATTTGCAACGATTTGACATAAAACAGAGAGGAAAAATATCTAATCGTTGCAAATAATATGTAACGGAGGTAATACAAAAAAATTAGCTGAGAGTATAAAAATTACCGGGGGTTGAAATGGACGAAATTGGATGAGACACATGGATGAGATTAACACGAGCTCCGGGTACAACAGCATGAGCAAGAACCCATTTAAGTACATGTACATCATCTTTACCAACTGCAACATAAACATCTTCATTCTTATTATCATTTACTTTGCTTCCACAATTTACTCCTTTATATTCATCATTTTCCTCTCCAATCTCTACAATCTCAGCCGCAAACTTACTCTCCTTGTTACATGAAGGCTGAAATTCTAGTATTTCAACTTCATCATCATAATATGCTTCTTTTTCCATTATATATATTTATGTAGTTCTTTTTTGTTCCTAGTAGGTATATTTCCACTAGAAATAATATGTAATATGACTTATATAAAAGAAAAAAAAATCTTGTCTGGAGATGTAAATAATTTATTAAATAAAGATGCAATAATTTATGATGAAGAAGGGAGAGGACGTGGTAGAGGAAAGAAAGTTGGGGAAAGTTAAATGTGTTAGAGGCCACATATTGTTCCTAGGATGTAGACATGCATATATAAGTCATGCGTTAGACATCAATTAGGAGAGAAATTCTCAAAAAAGGCATGTGTTCAGTGGCGGACTTGGGCTTAGACCTGGTGGGTCAAGTGACTCACCAGGCCCAAAAAAAAATTTTAAGTTATTTTTTTTAAAAAAAAAAAAAAAAAAAAAAAATCAGAGGAGACTTCAAGCCCTAGCCTCTTCGTGCTCTTCGTGACTTCGCCTTCTCCGCCATTCTTCTCTTCGTGACTTCGCCTTCTCCGCCATTCTTCTCTTCGTGACTTCGCCTTCTCCGCCATTCTTAATCGCCTCATCTCCATTCTTCTCTTCGTGACTTCGCCTAATCGCCTCATCTCCATTCTTCTCTTCGTGACTTCGCGTGACTTCGCCTCTTCGCTCGACGCTCATCTCCATTCTTCTCTTCGTGACTTCGCCTCTTCGCTTCGTCCCAGCCAGGCAGCCAGGCAGTCACCGTTCTCTTCGCCTAATCGTCTGGTAGTCGGACGTCGGTGACTCGGTGGTTGTGACTCGTGGACTCCGTCCTCTTCGTGAAATCGCTACTCGAAACGTCGGTGCTAGTAAGTCGATTTCTAATTTTTATTTTTAATTTCTAATCTTCAAATTAATTCAGTCTAATTTGTTAATTTTATTAAACTTTGGTTTAAACTTTGGTTGATTTGTTAATTTGTAGTTGGTTGTGCTGCTGAATTGGCGAATTGATGTCTTGCTGAGTGCGTGCCTCGGTGCCTGAGACTTGAGTGCTGCCGACTGTCGTGCTGCGGTGCTGGCCGACTGCCCGTGGCCCTGTTGCAGTGCTGCTCCGCCTGCTCCGCTGCTCGCCTCCGCCTAGCAAGGTAGGTAATCAACTAATCATCAATTGATTTTTTTTGTGAAATCTGTTTTGTGTAATTGTGTTTTGTGTAATTGAAATCTCTTGAACTTATTAGTTATTACTTATGTGAAATCTGTTTTGTGTAATTGTGTTTTTTGTAATATGTTTATGTGATTATGTCATTATGTGAAATTGCTTGATTTAGACCATTTAGTTGAATATTTATTCAAATAATTTTTCTGGGGAATATTGCTTGATTTAGTTCAATATTTATTCAAATTTCAGAATGAAGAGAAAACATACTCCAAATGAAATGCAAAACATTACTAGCTTCTTTGCTAAAAAGAATCCTACTCCAACTTCTCTTCCACATCCAACACAAAATGAACAAACTATAACTCCACCTCAAGAAAGTGAGCAACTTTCATCTCCATCTCATTATTCAACTCAAAATTCCCCTCAAAATGAACAAGGCCAATGTTCTCCTAATGCCCCAATCTTTGGAGAAAGATTAAGTGAACATGAATTTGCTAATATTCCACAAGATCCAGGAAAGAGGAGAAAAATGAGTCAATTTCATAAAGATGATAGAGATTTAGTGAGAAGAATTTACATTCAAAGAAAGCCTTGTCAGCCCAAAGACTTTACATTTCCTCAAACTTCTATTTTTGGCAAAAATCGTCGCTTTTGTGCTAAGTGGTTTGATACTTGGACTTGGCTTGAGTATAGTGTGGAAAAGGATGCTGCCTATTGTTTCCCTTGTTATCTATTCAAGGATGAAAATGCTTTTGGAGGTGATGCTTTTGTTAGTGATGGTTTCAAATCATGGAATCGATCGGATTTAATAAGAAAACATGTCGGTAAACACTTGAGTGCACATAATAATGCTGTTTTAGCTATGGATTTGTTCAAGAAACAAAATTCAAGCATCACACAAGCCTTAACAAAACAAACCGCTGAGAGTACAAATGCATATAGGACGCGACTTGAAGCTTCAATTGAATCTATCCAATGGCTTTTACTCCAAGGGTTGCCTTTCCGTGGTCATGATGAAAAAGAAATTTCCTTAAGAAGAGGTAACTTTCTTTCACTTTTATCCCTTATTTCCAAAGGTAATCCTGAATATTCTAAAGTTGTTTTCAAAAATGCTCCTAGTAATTGTCAACTTACTTCTCCCAAAGTCCAAAAAGATATCATAAATGCATGTGCAAAAGAGACCACTAAAGCAATGCTTGAAGATATTGATGGTGGTTTATTTTCTATCCTTGCTGATGAGTCCGCTGATGTTTCTGACAAGGAACAATTGGCTCTTTGTTTGAGATATGTTAATAGAAAGGGAGAAGTGTGTGAGCGTTTACTTGGTATTGTGCATGTTGTAAACACTGCTTCTTTGACTCTCAAAACTGCTATTGAATCCTTATTAATGGAGCATTCTTTGTCTTTCTCTCAAGTACGGGGTCAGGGTTATGATGGGGCAAGTAATATGCAAGGTTCTATTAATGGCCTTAGGACTCTTATAGAGAATGAGTGTAAAGAAGCTTATTTTGTCCACTGCTTTGCTCACCAACTTCAATTAACTCAAGTTGCACTTGCTAAAAAGAATTCAGATTGTGCTTGGTTATTTGTTGATGTACTTGCACCTCTCTTGAATTTTGTGGGGGGTTCACCAAAAAGGAAAGAGTTTCTTCGTGAAAATCAAGCTCAAAGAGTGGTGGATGCATTGTCTCTAGGTGAACTTGAAACGGGTTCAGGTTTAAATCAAGAACGTGGATTAGGTAGACCTTGTGATACTCGTTGGGGATCTCACTTCAAGACAATCTTGAATGTACTTGATTTATTCCCTGTAATCCTTGGTTCTCTTGAGGATATTGCAAAAGTATCTGATACAATAGATTCTAATAGAGCTCAAACACTTACAAATCTTCTGATGTCCTTTGATTTTGTGTTCGTGGCACACTTGATGGTTAGTATATTTGCGATAACAAATGCTTTGAATGTGGCCTTACAAAAGCACGATCAAGACATTGTGAATGCAATGGCCATGGTTAATGTAACCAAGACTAATTTGCAAAAAATGAGAGATGAAGGATGGGATTCTCATATGGAAAAGGTAATTTCTTTTATTGGTGACTATGACATTGCAGTTCCAGATATGGAGGCTAAATATGTTGTTCCCGGGAGGAGGTTGTTTAGAGGTAAATGCCCACAAGTGTCTAATCTACATCATTTTCGAGTTGAAGTTTTTTTTGGTGTCATTGATCTTCAATTGCAAGAACTTGAAAATCGATTTCCCGAAATAACTAAAGAACTACTTGTGTGTATGTCTTGTTTGAGTCCTGTGGATCGTTTTTCTAAGTTTGATAAGGAAAAATTGATTAAGCTTGCAAAATTCTATCCTAATGAATTTCCAAGTTCAGAATTGATAGTCTTTGGTCATACACTTGATAGTTACATTTGTTCTGTTAGAGGAGATGAAAGGTTTTGGAATTTGAAGGGTCTTAGTGATCTTTCAATCAAATTGGTTGAAACGGGATTGTCTGAAACTCATGATAGGGTCTATTTACTTTTGAAGTTGGTGTTGCTTCTTCCTGTCGCAACGGCAAGTGTGGAAAGAGTATTTTCTGGCATGAAGCAAGTGAAAGACAAACTACGAAATAGCATGGGAGATCAAATGTTGAATGATTGTTTAATTACTTTTTTGGAGAATGATTTGTTTTTGAATGTTAGCATGGAAGATATCATGAATCGATATCAAAACATGAAAACTCGTCGAGAACTATTTTAATAAGTTTGCATTACTATTTAGTTGTCTTTTGTAGTATTATATGAACATTTGGTTGTATTTTGTACTGTTTGAATATTTGGATGTATTTTTTAGTACTATTATTTGGTTGTTTGGTAAAAATTTTTTTTTACATATTTGATTATCGATTGTGACTCACCAGTCGGAAAATCCTGGGTCCGCCACTGCATGTGTTTCAACTTCTATTTGAGTAGAGTTTGTCCCATTGTATTAAAATAAGGTAGGTTCTAATGTTCTATCTACTAGTTTGGAACATGTCTCATTTTTTAGTTCATCAATAACTTCATGATATAATTCATGTTTATTAGGATTACAATTATGAAATATATGTATTAGTGTATTACTCCCTTTATTAGTCAAAATTTAATTTTACGCGGTTATTATATAGCTACATAAATCAAGAAATATGAGAAATGGGAACTATACATACATGTCCCTATTTTTGTTTCAAAGAGTAGATAAATAGTGTAAGAGATTTATTTAATATAATTGGATTTCACAAAGTGGAGTACTTATAGATGATGGGAATTATCGGATTATATATGTCACTACCTACTGATCTTATTACTTACTCTGTATATGAGACCTGACATAGCGGTTTGTAAGGAGTAGATTATCGATTATTAATCATGATTTTGTCATTCTTTTCTAACCATTTGGTTACACTTACACCTTATTCCAAGCCCATTTTTTCTTGCCTATTTGAGTATTTGGCACAATCAAGAAAGAAAATTCAAGTTTCTTCAAGGGGTAAGTTTGTAATATTACAATTTTACCCTAAAATCGCTAGCAAATAACATACAAAGCTTTTTAATTACTTTAAGAGAGGTGGGGTGAATTTGAACATATGGAAAAATGGAATGACTTAAAGACTATAGTAGAGGATAGAAAGGAGCTTGTATATCGTCCACATACTGTGGTAGATAACAAGTATATTGTCAGAATTTAATCTTTATGTGATTATCATTTCAATATATTGGTCCTTCCATAGTGGAGGGGGTGGTGGGGTGGATAATGACTTCCATTTGCTACTATGAGGGCCAAGGTTTTTGTTCCAAGCTAACCGGATACATTGTGTCCAAGTACATATATATCATGACATATCTGTAGGTTTTATGTTGTGGCATTTTGAGTCGTATCTTAGGGTATGATCTAATTTGATTGTCTGATTTGAATAAACTTTTATATTATTATCTTTATCATTAAATGTTATTCTCTTAACAGAGAATCGAATGTCAAACCTCTATAATTTGAGGTAAGAAAACGAGTCAAGTCTTATTTGACAGTTTTCCTCTTCTAAAAGCTTTTAAAGATTGTGTTATTTTAAATTAAGAATTTGTACTCTAGTAAATATTTTAGGAGAAAACGCGGCACATTAATACATAATCCCACAAGACTCACAAAGTCTTTGCACATCGATCCAACACAGCATGAAAGCAATAAACATACCCTTCCAATTTCAAACAATTAGGTTGGGATTTATTACTAAGATTTCCCTACTTTCACGTCGAAGCAAGTTTGTAGAAAATGCTCGATAATTGTCCGGTTGTTCCCATTTGATTTTTGTTTTCAAATCTAATACCTTTGACAATGAAGTGTTTTTTTTTTCTTAGCACTATTTAAAATGGATATTCATTTGACAATTTTACTACGTGTATAATGATTGTTGACTACTTTAGAGTGAATGAAGTAAAATTATGTAATGAGACCTATTTTATTGTAGGATATCATTAGACAAGTTACTACGGAGTAATTAACTACGAGTACTATCACAGTATCACATTTATGCAACTATCTTATTTACATATTTTCAATGCAATATTTCCATTTATAAAAATATTTATCGACTTTCAATGTAAATATTCCTATGCTCAATGTTAATTTGATGTTTGTTTTTCACCATCTTATTTTGCTTATTGATTGTGAAAAACCACCAAACGTAACCTTCTTTTGAAAACAGAGAGAGTAATATGTTTTATAATTTTTATAAATATGCATAATTAATGTAGTAATTACCACAAAGTTTAACATTGACAAACATAAAAAGATGAGTAAAAATTTGGGGGTGTTATTAAATATTTATAAAGTGGTGTAGATTGTCGGGCCCTGTATCCTTGGATGCAAAACTCTTTGGGTGTAAGGCTATTCTTGAACCCATTAAAAGAAAAGTGGACTAACATTGCAAATTGGCCCAATAATCTTTCAATAAATTTTCATCTCGTCTAACGGAATAATACTGCCATATGCCCCAAATGCAATCCATTAGCTGAAATGAGTAAAGTACATTTTAATGGTCCGCTTTGTTTTGTCGAAGAAGAAAAATATTTTCAATGAAAATTGATCATGAAAAACGTTATTATAAACTATTTCCTTTAATTTGTTTCCTTAAAATGAAATCAACAACATGTCTTGTGGGTGGCTAACCATACCATGTGATCGCTTATAAAAGATAAAAATAATCCTATAACACTAATCGAGTAACCTCTGTTATACTGACCAAATAGCTTCTGTAATACTCACAACGCAACTTCGATAACACTAACAAAGTAACTCCTATGATTATTGGTCGGACGGTGTGGCCAACCATATATAAAAATGTGTGTAAAACTAATACAATAGTCTAATAGAGAACCATTTGTACAAACACTAAAAAGGAAATGCTGAAATAGGGTTAGAATGGTGGGAAAATTTAACTTCCCTTCAAAAGAACTTATTCTCATCCTTAGGAGAGCTATTTTTCACTATTAAGGAAATCATCTTTCACCCCATAAAATACTAAATGCGAGAATATAGATGAATAATTTTCTCGTTAACTATTTTACGCCTAACCAAACACTGTAATCCTAACTAATAGAAATTTATTTTATTTTATATTATATTTTTTTGGTGTTGCTATCTAAGTATCTCCTCTTAACTTCTTAAGCGGCTAATAATAATAATAATAATAATAATATAGTTTAGTTCAGCTCAACGCCTTAGGGCCTGTTTACTTTAGTTTAATTTCAGTTAAGTTTAGCTCTTAATTTCCTTCTCTCATAAAATATGTATTTCAGCTTTATTCAGTTTAGTTCAGCTTAGTTCATAAACGACCCTTAGCCAACTTTTATTAGTCCAAATCAACTCCAAAAACAGGGCCTTACACTTTTAAAATCTCATATTTGCATATACTTGTATTATTATTTATTATGATTGAATATAAACATGCAAAGTAATGAACTAATTCTAGAACGAGCAATGACCCATCACTAGTCAGTAGTCACAACTTTAAAATTGGTCCACCACCAATATTAGTACTATATAGTCTATATACAGATATTATTGCTATGATTCAAATATCCAAGCTTATGATTAATTATTTAATTATGTCTATCATTAATTTTTATCAAGTGACTGTTAATAGAAATATCTGACCGAGAGCAACGACCTTGTATGCCCAAATTAAAGCAAAAAAGCATTTCCAAGAAGAGGATGTGACATTTTATACAATGCCATCACTACTTATCTCATGTAGTCAACAGTTGATTAGTGGTCCAAAAACATAAAAAGATGAGATTATAGAGAAACAATTTTTTTCTGTATGAGGATCTCATAACTAATCTCGGGATCACTAAGAAAGTCCAATTTCATATGTATCAATGTATGCGGCCATGTGGGATCGTGTTAGATAGGATGATTTTATAAACGCAACAAAGCTTTGCATTTTTGCAAGATCCAATTTACATCAAAGAGGAGATAATCAACAAGGTATTTATTTCATTTGCTTACTAGTACAATTATTATACAAGATAGACAGATAGTGGGAGTGTGAAATTGCTAATTCCACTTTAAGAAGCTAGTAATGTGCACACGTATAATCTCACTCTTTCTAATGTCTATTTGTTAATTTTTTCAGGATTCTATATAATCCAATCTTTTAATCAAGATTATGTGTGGTATAACCTCAAAAGTTAGAAGAAAAAATGGCCAAAATTGTACTCTTAGCTCTATTAAGAACACTGTTGATTTTGATATTTTTGGTGTGTATTATTCTTTGGTTTCTCAAACCCACCAAAATTAGGACCAAGAATTGGAAAAAGGTTGAAGATGGTATGCAGACAACAATTTTCAAGTATAATGGTATGAAAATTTAGTACTATATTATATTTATCGGAAATATACTTCTTGGTTCATGTAGCCGACCCCATCTTTTTGAGGTTAATGCTTCGGTATTACTGTTTGTTACTGTTGCTAAGCATAATGTATCTGAATTTGATGCAGGTGTTGATTTTGTGGTATATACATTTCCCATTATATTACTAGCTATGATTGGATTGGTATACATGTATATGCAACCAATGAGATCAATTAAAAGGTAATTATATACTAAAATTATGCTTTAATGGATATTATGGGGTGAAATATTGTTAACTAAAAGACTTGGATTTTGAATGCAGAGGAGTAAGAAGATATACAACAGCTTTGTATAATCCAATCATAGTAAAAACTCCTATTGGTATGTTAAATGGCATTGATGTTATTGCCATGACTTTTGTTTTAACTCTTTTAGTTTGGACATTCTATGTTAGAATTTCCAATGACTTTAAGAAGTTAGTACCAGCAAAACACATGAAACTGAACATGTGAGTGTTCTTGGCAATGTAATTTAATAATGATTATGAACTAGGTAGTAGGACTTAAATTCGACGATTTATGGTTGGAATAACTGACTGAATTGAAAATTGGTGTTTTCAGTTGGCAGCTAAAGTTCTTGAGGATTTCGACTAGGTTTGGTCTGTTGGCAGAAATTTGTCTTGGATTTCTCCTTTTCCCTATCCTTAGAGGGCCGTCGATATTTAGGTTGCTTGGTGTACAATTTGAAGCTTCTGTAAGGTATCATATTTGGCTAGGGACGACGTTGACATTCTTTGCTATCCTGCATGGAGCAGGCACTCTTTTCATCTGGGGCATTAATCATCAGATACAAAATCAGGTTTATATATGAATCAGTTCAATTTAGTATGGTAAAACTGTTTGTTAAAGTACATGAATTTTTATCTAACAGAAACCTGAGAGTTTGATTCTGTGTTTATCATTACAAGAAAAGTGTGTTCTTGTGTTGTTGTGCTCTGAACTTGATTTATATTGATTAAACTGATTTTTACTTTTTAAAACTGAATTTTGATGATTTACGAGTGTCTTGCATATGCAGTCACCAACATTCATCAAATCTGATTTTACTGATTTTAAATTGGTTCATGTAAGTTAAGTAGAATAAGGACTAACATAAAAAGGTCATGTTTATAACATAATTTCTGTCAACAATGTAACTTCAGATATGGAGTTGGCAGAAAGAAGGCCGAATATACTTGGCAGGGGGAATCGCTCTCATTACCTTGCTGATTATTTGGATCTCATCACTTCCCTTAGTAAGGAGGAGGAAGTTTGATGTATTCTTCTGTATGCACCATCTGTATGTAGTCTTTCTTTTGTTGTTCTTGTTTCATGCTGGTGACAAGCATTTCTTCATGGTATTCGCGGGAGTTTTCCTCTTTGCAATGGACAAATTGCTTCGAGTTATCCAATCAAGTCCAGAAACTCGAATTCTTTCTGTGAGAATCTTCCCTAGCAAGATCATAGAGCTAACCTTTCCGAAAGACCCAAGTAAGCACCAAAGAAACACTCCTATTGCATCAAAAAATGGAGAGATGGCAGTAAAATGATTCATATTATGTACAATGTGTTTGTTTTCCTATATTGTGCAGGACTGAACTACACACCAACCAGTATAATATTTGTAAAGATACCGATGATTTCCAAATTTCACTGGCACCCATTTAGCATTACTTCAAGCTGTACTGTCAACGATCAGACAATGTCAGTTATGATCAAATCTGAAGGGTGTTGGACAAATTCTTTGTACGACATTTTGTGTCAGGAAGTCGAGTCAAAGAGCCAAACAAAATGTGTGTCTGTTGCAATAGAAGGCCCTTATGGACCGCCTTCATTTGATTTTGTCAGGTTTGTATGCTGTACTGCATTCTTAGTCTCCTATAACCAACTAGAAAATATGATTTGTTTTGTTAAGATAACTTCAGTAAACTCTCTGAATTTCTCCTGCAGATATGACAATCTGCTGTTAATCGCGGGTGGAATTGGGATAACACCCATGTTAAGCATACTGCAGGAATTAGCCTATGCAAAGGGTGATCTCAGAAACAGATGCCCCTCACAAATACAACTTATATATGTTACTAAGAACTCCCAAGACATTTCACTTTTGAATCCAATTTCTCATGTTGTCTCAAATCAAACCTCTGAATTCTGTCATCTGAAGCTAAAAGTTTTTGTAACCCAAGAAAATAAGTCTAATTCGAGCCTTAAAGACTTTCTGAGTTCAGTCTCTGCAGCGCGGACTATTTTCTTTGACATGAAGAACTCGAATCATTCATTTGGAAGAGTACTTATCAATCCTCTTTGGATGGGTGCTATCACTGGCTTTTCCTCTGCTATATATCTTCTGTCCCTTTGTTTCTTCAACCAGTTTCTGTTTTCACCTAAAATGAAATCGTCCAAGCCAAAAAGTCCATCATCAGTAGTAGATCTTTTTCTCTTGTGCTCTTTCCTGATAGCTGTAGCATGTAGTGCTGTAATTGCAATGGTGTTGAAATGGAGAAATTCAAAGACAGAACGCAAGATGCTAGCAACAACTTGGGACAATGAAGGTGAGATGAAATTAAGCGCGATGGAAGGAGCAAGTACAAATACACTGGAGGAACAACACGAAATCCATTTTGGAGCTAGGCCTATCTTCAAAGGTTGTTTATATATTTGAAAGGCGGTTACAAAATTCATGTGAATAATTACATTACATTACAACTAACAGCCTTTATTAACTTGATGATTTAACAGATTTACTGCAAAAAATGGAAAGTGAATTCAAGGGATCAAATGTAGGTGTGGTGGTGTGTGGACCTGAGTCAATGAAGGATTCCGTGGCATCAGCTTGCCAGCAAAAATGTCGTCAAGCATTTAAGTTCAATTCAAAGGAACAGCAGCAACAACAACAGCCTTTCTTTGTTTTCCATTCTCTCAACTTCAGCCTTTAGGGCCGGGGTGGAGCTAGTTTGTATGTATGAGTTCAAGTGAACCCGGGCCGTCTTGTCCTTGTTTTAGTTACATTATTTACTTTGAAGTTTGAACTTGCTTAGCAACACTACTAACTACACCATTTAGAACTATAAATAGCCTTTACTACTTGATTCTCAATCTCAGCTACTGGTAACTGGCTGAACTGTTGTATGAAGCTGATTAGTTTATTATATGTTTACAATATGGTTTTATGATCCTAGGCTTCATATATTCACCTGGTAAAAACTACAAGTAGTTGACTAGTGGTCTAGGACATACCATATATCTATTACTCATACTCGTACAAGCTAATTTAACTTCAGAAAATTTGATGTTTAAACTTTAAGGAAACTATCTTGCTCGTATCCATCGTATCCTAATTATAAAATTTTGATATGTACCTCGTACAATGTGTTATACTACCTCCGTTACAGGTTATGTGCAACGATTAGACATTTTCCCTCTCTGCTTTATGTCAAATCATTGCACATAACCTGTAACGGAGATAGTACATATTGTTAGAAGGCTTATGCTCGCATTGCATGTTCCCACGTTATGTGTATATAGATTTAGTTGTAAACTTGTAATTGGAGGAAATCAATCTCTCTTAAATTTGTAAGGCCAAGAAAGGGAAGCAGACATTTAAGTCAAAGACTGGATGCTTGGGAAAGAAAACCTATCTCTATATCCTGTCATTTGCTTATTGGGCTGCACCGTATCAGCAAGCTTTGCCTCTAATTAAGCTGAGAAAGTAACCTTAATGGCCCTTATGTAAATGGGTCAAACCAACCATTTAGGCTACAAGCCTATTAGGTTAGGACTTGGGACTTAGAATATGGTAAACATATACTACGTAATAAACATTGTAGCTAATGGCCCTATTAGTTTATTATATGTTTTACAATATGGTTTTATTATATCTTCATTTATTTGAAGTTATATTCTTATTCTCCAATGTATTCTTATTTGGCAAAGTTTAATCAAATACAAACAAGAAAAATGTCTAACAAAGCACTTGGATTTAATTTGTAATGTTTGAGAAGTAAATTGTGTTTTCCTTACTTGATACATAGGTTGGTTAAACATGATTACAGTAGATAAAAAGAAAGAAAAAACAAAAGAGTTATTAATATTGTGGGCAAAAGACAATTTATCTTTAGGTGAAGCACAAGCCATGCCGAAGAAACATCTTACTACATACGACATACAGCTCTATCAGATTAAGTTCCAATGTTTCATCATAAAACTAACATGTAAGTTCGTTACATATTAACGGTTAAAATAAAACCAGAAAACAAAACAACCACCTGTTTGGTATTGGACCTTTATGTCAGCTCACATTCACCTCACAAATAATACAAATAATTATTAAATACCTTGCCTAATATATTTTCGATTTGAATTTTTAGAATCATATAAATAAGATTTTTATAAGTTATTCTTTTTTAGACTCATAAAACATGGTTGAGACACGTATTTGAAATCTCTGGTATGACCAAGTCACTATTTATATGAATGATACAATAATTATAGTCTGTAGCATTATTTATTATGCTAAATATGCCAAATATATACTCTGTTGTTCACTATCATTTATTAATCATAGTCTAATGTGTCGACAGTGTATCAAATGTTGCTTTATGTCAATTTTTTATGTTTATGAAGCTATAATGGAATTTTAATACAATATTATTAGTCCTATTATAAGTTAATAACCAAACTTTAGCTTAAATTCATGCACCATGCCAATAATATTGCCTTTTTTGGTCCCTTATCCCTAGGTAACCGGCTGAAACAAACTAAACCATTTAAAAAGTTGGCTGATTGGTTAGCTAATTTCGGGGTCAACCCTTCTAATTTTTTTGGTGCAAACTCTTCTAATTATAATATGAAGATTTTTGATGCAGTCTCGAAGAATTTCAAGATCATTTGTTGAAGATTTAAGTGGAGTTGCTTAATCTAGATTGGTGGTCAATACTTTGACTTATATTATTAGTACTACCAATTTAAAAGAAATTAAAGTCATTAGAATAAGGCTGATTTATTTTTGTTTTTTGTCTTTTGTTTTAGTTTTCAAAAAAAAAAAAAAAAAAAAAATCGATTTTTGTGTTCTATGTTCTACGGAGTATTATTTTTTCTTCACTTAGGGGCTTGCCCCCTCTCTCTGTCTCTCATATGAAAACTTAATACAGTAGTAATAAAAAAACTACCTATTTAAATTATTACTAATAGATAATCAAATTTCTCCTTCTTTTTGTTGTATTGGTCTGATAGAGAATATAAGTATATAACAAATTTCTAGGCTTCAACTATCAGTTTAAGTTTTTGGCTGATGAGATGGTCCACTAACATGATATCAGATCTTTTTAAAGTGGAATTAATCACGCCAAGTATGGGAGCTTAAATTTTTTGTTGAGATGGTCCACTAACATAGCCGTGTTGACAACCTTAATCATGAAATGTATTACGTACTTTAAAATTTTCTACAAGCATAATTTAATCCAATTGTACTCGACTTAGCTTAAGCGTACATATAAACATATGTCCAATAATCAAGAGCATGTATCATGTTTAAAGAGATGTATGTGGTGCACTACACACACTGATAATATAAGCTATATATCAATACAATACACTCTAGATTATTACAATTACATTTTGTGAAAATGGTGAAAATTAAAGGAGGGAGCCTAGAACATCCTACCCACATAGAAATATAGAATATGACATGAGATATACAAGATAATTCAGAGTAATATAGTACTACGAGAGCTCTAGAAATATTTGGAGCAAAATTAAAAAATGAGAAGTGTAACATAGTGAAGTACATACGTGGGTGGTTGGTAATGCCTTGGCCACATTTGATGCAAACTTTGAACTAACACCCAATCATGTGATTTGTTATGGTTGGATCGAATTTATCAAAATCAATGTCCTTATTTCATTATACAGTATAATTACAGATGATAGCTTAGTAACCTTAACATATATCACGCATGCAATCGCTTTTTGTCATTTCATTCAGGGACAAACTTGTGTCTTCTTGTGAATCAGAGTTTCATAGTGGTTTAGATCAACATGATCGACCCATGTTGTAGTTATTCATTGTCTCCACCACTTTATAATTGTAGGGAACTTTATTTTTCCTTGGTCTACAACTTTTGGTAGAATAAGTGATCATAGTTGAGCTATGTGACACATAATATATGTTAACAAACAGAGAAACTAAGCTAGTTAGTATATATTATACAAATCAAAAACCTAACTACTTATAATTTTCAACCAAAAAACGGCCATTGAATTACAAAAACCTAATGACTTATATTTTTTGAAATTCATTTTAATAACACAAAGTCTTATATGTGGTTGGCCACACCGTGTGACAGGAGTTACTTTGTTAGTATAATAGGGGTTACTTCGTTAGTGTATTAGGGGTTACTTGGTCAGTGTTAAAGGGGCTACTTAGGGTTTGTTCTCATTGACTGAATTGAGCTGAAATGAACTGAGCTGAAATGAATTGAACTGAAATGAATATTTTTTACAAAAAGGAAATTAGGAATTGAACTAAACTGGACTTATTAGAGCTGAAACTAAACTAAACTGATCAATTGAACTGAAAATAATCGTATGAGAACAGGCCCTTAGTCAGTGTTATAGGGTTACTCATCGGTTAGTGTTATAGGGGTTACTTAGGGCCTGTTCATGTTTACTGAACTGAGCTGAACTGAACTAAACTGAACTGATTGAAGTTGAACTGAACTGAACTGAACTGAACTGAACTAAACTGAAATGAATATTTTATGAGAGAGGGAAATTAAGAGCTGAACTGAACTGAATTGAACTGAACTGATTGGAGTTGAACTGAACTGAACTGAACTGAATTGAACTGAACTGATTTGAGCTGAACTGAACTGAAAATAAGTAAATATGAACAAGCCCTTAGTTAGTATTATAGGGATTACTTGGTCAGTTTTATATGGATTACTTTGTTATTTTATAAGTGATCACACGGTGTGGCTGACCACATGCAAGCTAAGACAGATTGTTTTAATAATATTCGGGCTATGAAAATAATTAAAAAGAATAGAGAAAAGAATTGCAAAAATCCTTAAACCTGTCTTACTTTTAAGGCTAACGTAAAAGTTAGTTTGTGAGAGTGTATCACCCCGTAAGAGTTGCTCTAAACAAAATCCATGATTTGCATTAGATTTGTCATTGTTCTTTTGTTACGTCAACTAATTTTATACGCTGCTTAATTTCAACTTCATGCTTAGTTTATTTGAATTGAATGTTCTCTTGTCCATTTATGAGTTCTTTTCAAATCTTTTGACAAAGTATGTAAGTCCAATAAAATGCTGGATTATATAAGTGAATACATACAATCCCTTCTCTTAAGAAACAAAAGCTAAAATATCTTGCTTGTTCAACGGAGATACAGATTGAAGTATTATATATTTGTATGTACATATACGGTACATGCATGCATTTACCACATAATAATAATGTTAGCACGATTGATAAAATAAAATTATACTCCGTATCAAGGTTACTAAATCCTTTTAGAGAATATATAGGTCGTTGTAGATGTGTACGACTCAAATATTATACTGATGTGCAATGTTTGGTTCATTAAATTAAGGTAATTAAGGAAATGAGTTTTAAAAAATGAAAAAGGAAGAAAATAGAATGTAACTCTTGTTGATATAACTATTTTTAGTAACAAAACTTTACATAATTACACAATATACTGTATATATCAATACAAAAAATGTACGTATAAAGTTTACATAATCTCTATCAGCTTCCTTCATCAGTAGTATTTTTTTACAGTAGGTTTTATTTGTAAATCAAAGGGCGTATTTTGACTTTTGAGCTATACAATATTTGTTACAGTAGTAGAGTACTTAATGATATTTATTGGAGGTGTATAAGGATTTTTTAGCGTTGTTATTAGAATGATTAAAGATGGTTGATATTGAAATACTGAGTATTAATTCTATCTTTTGGGACACTTGTAACTAATGGGCCATTAATAGTCGTGTCTTCACATCATTGTTGCTTGTAAGTTGCGGCATTTGCTCGCTTAGATGATTAAACATCTAACTACAGAGTAGTAAGGTGTATCTAGCCAAGAATTCAGTATTACTATATTAGTTGTATCATCTATGTATTACGTCTAAATGGACCTAGAGAAGCAAGTTGTATGTAGTTCTAATGCATGTCATAAAAGTTGATTGTGGGATGCTCTGGAAAAGAGCATATATGGTGATTGACTGAGGTGAAGAGAGAGCAGAAGGACTACTAGGTGTTGATGAGGGGCGTTCGGAAAATCGTTTGTGGCAGCCGGCTGGCAGAAGCACAGTCTAGGTGGACCGTCGAGGTGGTTGATGATGGGGTGGTGTCCGTGGTGGTGATAATTTGTTGCACTATACTTGGAAGTAGGGAGTGTGATTTGTGTGTCCCTTAAGTTATTGGACAATACTATTACTTATATTTTAAATTGATTATTATTCCCTTGAATTGGTCTCAAATTGACAAATTGGTGTTTCATTTAGATTTCGATTTAATGTACAATGATTATTACTATTTTTGACCGTGTCTATTTGAATATGAAATAAAATTTTACAGTTGAAACATATACTTTATATGAAATTTAACAAGATTTTATAAAGTGAGAACTAAAAAATATACTATATTCATGATATCATAAATTATATACAATATATTAAGTTGATTATGTTTCAAAAAAATAATATAAAAGTTTATTAATTATATCAGGAGACAACATTTGTCATTACAGTTTTTCCAATTTTTCTATTTCATAAGGTTGCAAGCATAACTGCATTAACACGTTACATTTAAAGACACGCAAATCGAATTTGTTACATTTCGTCAAGAAAAAAAAGTGCAAACTTAAGTAAATTTGAAGATTCAATTGTAACAGACATTAATCGAATACTCCATAGTTAGCAAAAATTTGACGATTATTAGAAAATATTCACGAGAAACTTCGATGCCCGTTAGGTTTAAGAATATCATGTCGAATAAAGTTCGATGCGACGATGGCCGTAAGGTTTAAGAATATCATGTGCAGTAAACTTGACACACACATACATTCATTCATATATACATTACACACGACTTTTCTTTATTCTTATTCGTTAATTTTCTTGATTCTCCAACAACTGAACAAAGATCACGGCCCAATTTCCATACTTGGTCCATCTTAAAATTAAAACAGAATATCCGAATATTTCTCATATTTTTCCAACCTCTTTTCATATTTTTTTTCAAACTTCAAGGAACCGCTCTCTTCTTTTTCTTTCCATAATTTAATTAACTTCCTAAATTAAAAAAAAATAAAAATAATTAATTAATTTCATGTGGGCCACGGCCCACCCTCTCGTATTAACCTTCCGCTATAAATAAACCTTCCATCTTTGAGCCTCAGCGGTTTGAAGCAACCACTAGACTTCAAAACCTCCTATTTTCTCTCTCCTCTCTCTTACCTCTTCTTCTCCATCAATGGCGGTCCAACAGAAAACCCTTATTAATTCTACCTCAAATTCAATCAAATTTCTATGTAGTTATGGCGGCAAAATTCTCCCTCGACCTTCCGATGGTAGACTTCGTTACGTCGGCGGCCTCACTCGTGTCGTCTCCGTTCATCGCAACATCTCCTTCTCTGGTGAGCAACTTTTTTCGTAATTTTTCTTCATTTTGTGTTGATTCAATTCATTCGAAGCTTCTAGAAGTGGTGAAATTGAGCTTCTTGTTGTTCGAATTTCAGAATTAATGGCGAAACTCGAGAATCTATGTGGTTATTCAGTGAATCTGCGATGTCAGCTACCTAACGAAGATCTCGACGTTCTCGTCTCGATCAAATCCGACGACGATCTCACAAGTGTCATCGAAGAATACAACAAAGCGTCGTTGATTTCTGGTAAAGAGTTGAAGATCAGAGCAATTCTCTCTCCTCCGAAATCATCGTTGTTATCATCATCATCTTCGTCATCGCTGTTAGTTTCTCCAGCTTCATCTCCTTCATCGTCGTGTTCCGGCGCTGATTACTCTCCAACAAACAGCGATCGCCGGAGAATCGTCAACTCTAAGCCGCCGATTCCGGCAACTGTTCGTTCATCACCGCCGGCGAGAAGAAGTCAATACGGCGTCGTTCGAGATTGTTACTACTACTATCCTTGCCATTTCCTAGCCAATTTTCGGCCTCCTTCATACTTCATCCAACATTCAAATCGCTTGCATTAATTTTTCTAAAAATAAAAAAAAAATATTTTCGTCCAATTAAACAGATATATAGAATTATAATTTTCGTATACAAAGTAAAATTTGGATAAATTGAACCAAAAAAATAAAAAAAAAAACCACGAAATCGGCCTTTATAGTTTTTGAATGGGGTCAATGTCAATGTAATTACGAGTAGTTGTGTAAAATTACTGGTTCTGTGTGTACTACTGAGAATCCGGAGTTGTTGAAATCTGATTGTTCAAATTCCTATAATCTTCCGGTGATTCTCAGATTCTAATGCCTATTTTTTTGGCCTTGGATTTTTGGACCTTCAATTTAGCTCTTAGTTTTTTTTTTTTAATTTTAAATGGTTGAGCGCATTTACCGCTAATTTAACCAATACATTAACACGTATAACCTGGATTTTTTGGAAGGTATACTACGTTTCTTTTTCTTTTTTTTTTTTTTTTTTTTTTTTTCTAATTTGCGAAATTTCTATTTCTATATTTTTCGTAATTTTAGTGGTTCAATCATTTATTTTCTTATGTTAAACAATTTTATTTTCCAAATTCTTGTGTGTGATGTGTGTATGTGTATTGTGACTTGTAATTTAATTTATGTTGAATTTGGTTTGTTAGCTCATTTGTTTTGTGTTTATTTAAAGTTAATATTTTTATATGTTTGTAATCATTAAAGTGCATACTAATTTCTGGGTTATTTCCGTGATTTTTGCAGGTCAAAAAGGGCAGAAGAAATAAAAAAAAAAAAAAAAAAAAGACGACATTATTCTAAACAGCTAAAATGTTGGTGGACTACACTAAACTAAATGACGTAACCCGATAATTATTCAATTTAAGAAAACTTGATAATGAACATATGGACAAATATCTGATAGAAAAAAATGGAAAAAAGCAAATGACTGAATAAATAAGGAAAAGAAAAGGCGGGCAAGTGGTATGGGCCTGGGCTTTGGTGGACCTAATAAGTTGGAGATAAGGATAATATCCGGAATTATGACGTGAACTTTGGGGCCCATTAGGCCTTATTAATGAATGGAATGGTTGAACATTTGGATGAAAAGGTTAAATTTATGCGGCTAGAATGTGAACGTGTCAACCATATTGTGGGACCCACACATTTTATAGTATAGTATACGATTGATTTGATTTGAATATTACTTGTATATTATGAGTATAAAGATAAGAATGGGGCATAATTTAAAATTATGGGACCATTGCCGGCTTCTGGTGATTGTTAGAGGCAAAGAGAGAGAAAGTACAATGCCAAATCCTTAATAAAGAGAGGCATTTATGTGTAATGTGTTAGGATTTTGCGTGTGATTTTAGTTAAGAATATAGTATTACTATTTATTAGTGTTTAATGATTTTGGAGGAGAATAATGTTAAATAATATATTCGAATAAAGTCTGAGGTACTAAGGTAAGAGTGTTTACTAAGAATTCACGTCGGCTCCCGCGTACTAGGAGAGGTCGATAGGATAGGAAGAGAAATATTATTATATTTATGAAGATATTTATATGAAATGACCATTGGGTGTAGTATGGTCTTATGGGTGAGACTTGCATGTTCATACACTGTTACATATTTACGGTTAGTGAGTTGTGTTATGCTCATTTGTCAATTTAGTCCTTTTAGATCGTAAAGATCTTAAATGTTTAACTTGCGGATAAGAAAGAGGAACTAACTAAAATCATAAGCTTTAAGATTCACTTTATGAACAACCAATTCGTACTATGTTTTGAGCGCTAATGAAACATGAGATTAGTACTCGTAGCAATTTGTTATGATGCCTTTGTCATATACTTCGTAGCAAGTAGATATTTGTTTTCATAGATTGACACTCTGCCTTATTTGATAATTGGAGCTAGAAAACCATAACTGAACTTGAACCAATTTGAGTCATTTGACATCTTTGGAAAAATTTTAAAACTCGATTAATCCAAATTTTGGTTGCTTGTCTTCTGCTTAATAATTAGTACATCAACCAACACGGAAATGAAACTTGTAAGAAATCACAATCACCTAATCAAAAGGATAACTAACCCAGTTATTATCAATGTATATATGCATAAAAATATAGAATTCTAGTGGTAAAATGTGCAAAAATAGCATAACTTGGGACAAATGATTTGTTGGATGCAACTCATGCAAGTTTGAACAGAGTTGAGTATACTTCTAATGCCTCAATACAGTCAATAGAGAGATCATTCCCCAAAAATGCAATGATTGTGATTCTTACCACCACCACACAAGGAACTTGTGATCACAGACAAGATTCATGAGTTGAATTACCACTAGGAGACTTTAAACATTTACAGGTAGCCGCTATACAAACAAACTACTCTCACAACTAACAGATACTTCCATAACCAACAACCGCTACAAAAACTAGTAATGTAGAACATGTCCCAAATATACGAGTGTGCTACTACTAGATGACATTAAAAGAGAGTATTAAAAAGATATTTGATGAACTTTGTTCTAAGGCAAATTCTTGTACAAAACACTTTCCAAAACACTTGAACTTTTTGGGCCAATTATAACTAGGAGCAATATGGTAATCAGGTTCAAATTTTGAGTATGCTCTCAGTCTTCTCACTAATCACCTAAAAACACAAAGATCACCTATAAACACAAGATTTTCGCTACAAGGACACTAAAGAGGACACTTAAACCAAACCATCATGTGGAAATGGAACTCAATCCACAAGTACTTAGCTGTTTCTACTACAAGCTCTTCCGAACTAGAAAATAAAGTGAGAGACATTTGCAACATAGAAATTGAATTCAGTCCACCAGAATGACTAGGCAGTTTCCTGTTCGAACTCGCCTTCTGATTCTTCAGCGTTGTCAGCTTCATCATCGTCTTCAGCTTCATTATCAATGTCTTCTTTATCATTATCCACCTTTGTTTTCCCGATCACAACAACATTGCAATTCAACTTTTTAATTTCATTACACTGCAAAAATTGGAAGTAAGAAGAAACAATATCAACAGCTATATAAACATTTCCGTAAAATACAAGCCTGTTTGGTTGCATTAGAAATGTAAAAAGAAAGCTTGACCTATGAAGCCAGATACAACAATATTATATCCATCTATATCATTTCTCAAATAAGTAAAGCTAAAGCAACCTAACAGAAAACTCAGAGCAAAACCTCCGCACAGATTTCCAGAATGAAGGCTGACTCTCAAGTTTCGGCAAAAAAAATACAAAAATTCATCCATAACAAAGTGAATGTCTCTGTTTTACTTTGGATACCCTAAAGTGCTGGCCTGCTTATTTCAAAACAATACTGTAGCTTGCATTTCATCAGAGGCTTCATATAAGCTAGATCACAAGTATGCACATAGCCAATACATCTAAAAGTATAATTTCATCCATTATCTCAGAGGAGTCAATTAGTAACACAAATGGAATTCAATAGCCAATTAGTCATGAAACATGACATTGTGACATGAAATAATGAAAACATTGACAAATCAAGTTTTAGCACATCTACACCAAGCTGTCTATCCATTCCTAATCAAGAGATAATTTCAAAACAATGATGTGCCACTAGTTTCAAAAAAATCTTCAAACTCTCAGCTTTGCAATACAAGTGTATTATCTAATCAAGAAAGCGTATCCCCTTTCTAAAAAGGAGACCTAGGTTCAGGTCTAAAGATAAATCGAACCTCCATGTTAGTTATGTTGGCGTGAATATCAAACGATGGTATTAATAAAAATAAAATGTAGGTTATCTTATTCAAATAAAAAAATTCACCAAAACTATATAGAATTTATCAGCTTACTGACACAGTAAAATAGGTACACTAATTAATAAATTCTTAAGCCATATGTGCTTCCTATAACTCCCATTACACAGGCTAAAGTTTTGAAAAAAAAAAAGATCTTGATAATTCTCACAGGCACTCTGTTATAAAGATTGCACCTAAACCACGCAAGTGTGCTCAACCATCCACAAATACAAAATGGTCGATCATCAGTCCATTCAATCCAGAAAGTGATAAATGTTGATGATAAAGTAATCCTTATGTATAAACCAACTCCAATTACAAACCTTAATTTACATCTACCTAAATACAACTCAACAGCTAATCAGTCATGCAAAATGATATTTGACATGAAATGATTAAAAATATTAACAAATCAAGTTTTGGCACATCTAGACCAAATCGTCCATTAATAAATAGGGAAAGGTTCATCAATCAAGAATATGAAGAATAATGTTGTCAACCATTTCATACTAGACAAAACTTGCTTGTATAATTGTTCTGAGATATTATGAATGATGTAATCAACATGTATAAATCAACTCCCATTACAAATCCTAATTTTCAAGCCAAAATAACCTTGCATGTAGAGCCCATCACATCAAATTCTAATCAATCAATCAATGCAAGAGTGGGTAAATGCAAGTTGCACAAATGTAAAACCAACTAACAACGCGAAATCTAACCTCGAAGGGAAATTTCCACTAGGGCATCCACCAGCATAAAGGGTTTTGATAGGGGATCAAACACAAACAAAGGCAATGGTCACGCTTAATCAATACCACACTATTCCTTAGAACATAAGTTTTAAAAAAAACAAAGTAAAAAATCCATAAGATTCGCACATCAATTCTCTTAGTCTTCCAGCTCCATATATGAATTCTTATAGTACATAGAACTAAACAATATAAAGATTAGTTTTAGTTTAGCCTTTCAAGTACAATGAATTGATCTTAATTCTACCAGCCAAGACCACAACAAAAGCTACAACACCAAGAAGACCCTAAATTAAAATTTTGTTGAATTCAGCAAAACTATCCAATTCAACCACGAAACAACACGAACTCTGATTAAAGGCCTAAAAACTCAGAAATCCAACACCCCACAAGTTTAACAAACTCCAAAACATTTTCTAATGGCTAAAAGATCATTCCAAAGCAATATATGCAGTGTTCCAAGGCAATAGTAGTTGGATGCAAAAGATTGTTCTTCAATAATTGCCTTGATTGGCAGTTGCACACAATGCCTTAATAAATTACCCAACCTTTCAATTTCTCCCTAACAAAATCCCTAATTCTCAAAATAAACAACTCAATTCCTAGGGTTTGCTCATGACCAGAGTGATCAAACTTAAATTAGGCAAAATACATTATCAAAATAACTAATTATAAAATTGAGAAGAATTAATACAGAGCAAAATTGCAGCAATTGCAAACGAAATGTAAAAATAAAAAAATAAAAAATAAAATAAAAATGAAGGAGGTTAGAAATTGAAGGACCTTGTCGAGAAATTCAGATTCTTCCAAAGCTAAGAGTTCGTCTTCGTTTTGGGCATTAGCTAATTGATGTTGGAGAAGAAGTGACGCCGGAATCATCCGCTCCGACGACGGAAATTGGGTCATAAACGCCGGAAACTGCAGCATTTTCTCCCGCCTTCAGTTACGTGTTGTCTGCCAAAGTCCTAAATCAACGATTTGGAGGCTCCTACAATGAAAATGTTTACTACTCGTAAGAGTTAGCTTAACAAGGCGTTAATAATTCCAAATTAGTAAAAATAATACTCCTAATTTAATAAATAAAAATAATTTCAATTTAAAAAAATGAGATGGAGTGAATGAAGTACAATTAAAAACTGAAATCTATAGTAATATCAAACGTATCATTAACAAGTTTTATAATTGCAAATTTTCTCTTTTTGCATTTGTCGATACAGTATTGGAATCGTTAGTATGACATCCGTTCCTAAAAGTTTGACTCAACTTACTATTTATGTGGTCAAAATAAAATAACTTTCACCACATATTATGATTTATACAATCAAAATATATTAACAAGTTTGATCTTATTAGATTCTCTTAATGATAAAATATTCAAATATTAAAAATTTTAAAATTTGAATTATATATAGCTGAAGTTATTAATGGTCAAAGATGTTTATTGAGGATCGTGCAAATGCTAAGTGGGTCAAACTTTCACGAACGGAGGGGTATATTTAATTACAAATATGTAAAAATAAACATATACTCCGTAGATTACTCGCAAATTATAATTAATCAAACGAATCTAGCAAAATCTTACATAATTATTTTTTTTTTGCTAACAACGCATCTTATATGCGGATGACTGTTTGTAAAAGAACAAAGTAACCTATATAATGCTAATCAAGTAACTCCAGTAAAACTGACCTCCACTAACGAAGCAATTTTATAAAAACATATATGAAAATGAAAATATAAACGTTTTAAGGCGCGTCTTAAAGACCGCACATGTCAAATGGGACAAAAAAAACAGGAAGAGTATTTATTTTTTTAATACGGAGTATATAAAACCCAGAAAAGAAAAAGGAGGATCAAACGAGTAGAACAAAAATTTAATTACGGAGTAACAAAAAATACAGAAGAGTCCGCTTCTCCATTTCGCCGCCGTTTGCTCGTCTGTGTCTTCAAACGACGACGAAAACCTCCGGTTAGAAAGCGCTTTATCGGCCGTCGCTTCTGCTCCACTTGGGCTGTTATTCTCTCTCCTCAACTCGCCGGTAACTTCTTCCCCTTAAGCCAATCTCATCTTTTAAGCTTCTCTTACAATTCCTTAATTTATTCTGCTACTTTACAGTCTTCCCTTTAAAATTCACTGAATTTAGTTTATTTATTCTAGGAACTTTGTTCTTTTATAATATATGATGCCCTTAATTTTGTGATATACTGTACTTGCTTGATCTTGGTGGTTTTAATATTAGATAGTTTCATTGTTTGACCGGAATTAATTGATTGATTGATTGAAAGTTGTATTGAATTGGGGTTGAATTCTTGTGTCAATTGAATAGGTTATAGGGGTATTACTGCCTTCAGTGGGATTATTGGAACCTCGTCGTTTTCGGCTTTTCGGGTATAATGGGAAGAGGGAGGAAGAATTTGAAGAGGGAGGTGGAAGAGGACGACTTCACTCTTCAACAGGGTCAAAGTATTATGCAAGTTGTGTCCCTTCGAGGTTCCAATCTTATTGAGGTACTGAGTTACTGACTGACTGTTGCTTTCCTAATCAATGTAATAATGCTGTGGAGCTTATTAATCTTTGAGAGGTGCTTATTTGTGATTTTGAATTCATCTTTTTGAAATGATTTTCTATATTGAGATCGTGTAGAATTTTTAGTTTTATCTGAGAAATTTCTTAATAAATAGTCATATGGCATTGAATTAGTGTACACATTTGTCGGGTTTCAGTAATGGTATGGTGGATATGTGATGGATGATTCCCTATATTGTTCTCCTTTACACTTTGGCTTCTGAGGAGTTGTTTTTTTCTCAAATCAACCGATAGCATGACCAAAGGTTGTTAATTTTCTATTGTGTAGAAGTTGGGGTGTTTTCCAATTTCAAGTTTCTTAGAAAGGCGATTGACCCTCCTGACGTTGGGTATAGATTAGATCAGAGGTTTAATCCAGAGGAAGTTAAGACTCTAATGTAGCCGCGCTGCCTTCACTAGTCTACTCCTTTACGAGGAAGGGTTACGGAGTCAAGGGTTCTGATGACAGTTGTAGGGTGGAAGTGTGGAACACATGGACTTGCAAGATTTGGATGTGTGGATAGTAACTAACTGAGCATTTGGTTTTGTATGTTTTTCAGGTAACAGATGGAAAAGGTGAGAAGTCCTTGGCTCTTTTTCCCGCCAAATTTCAGAAAAGCATGTGGATAAAGAATGGTTAGTTATCGGAAACATTACGAAAATTATACTAAAACTTCTACTATATTAATGAAGTATCACTTTCTCAATGCATAGGGAGCTTTGTTGTTGTCGATGACAGTGGTAAAGAGGAGGCTCTTGAGTCTGGTAGTAAGGTGGGATGCATCGTATCCCAAGTTCTCTTCCATGATAAAGTTAGGCGTCTTCAAAAAAGCTCTGATTGGTAAGCTCTTACTTAATCAGATCTCCTTCAGAATCTGTTTTAGGCTGGTAGTTTCTACTGCTGAGAGCATCTTGGTTTGTTTCTCTATTTTTCCATTATATAGTCAGATACTCAGATGACTCAGATCAGCTTAATATATTTTGTAATTTGAAGTCCTATGATGTTCTTTATTTAGTTTTATGAAGTGTCTTTATCTTGATCTAATTTTTTGAAGCTTCATCAAATTTGTATAGCGCGATATCCACGCATTGAGTGACATCATTGTAGTCAGCCTGACCTAGAGGTCTCTACTTTTAATAATGTGTATTGTCTGACTGTCAAATATGGGCAATGTAAGGTGTATGCATCTCCAGAAGCATTGTCTCCTACTCCCCTAACTCTTTTATGTTAGACCTTTTAAACATTTTCTAACTTTTACGATGGTAAGCTGCTACACGCCTACACCACCTCAGGTGATCCTTGTTTACTAGGAGCCTAGGAGGTACAGTGTATATTATAATTACATGGCTGTTTTCAGGAACTCAGCCGAAAAATTTGATGGAAATTTTTGTCATGGACAAGTTAATTGATTTATAATTTCTTCACTATCTGCAAGTCTGCAAAGATGGATTGCTTATATCATGTTAATTTAAGTTATTACTGATTTTTTTTTGTAACATAGCTCATCTTCCCTGTTGTCAAATACATAATGCAACTTCTCCTTAATTTGATTGGCTCCTCCTTAGTCTTTATTGCTTTTCATGTGATTGGACAAGGTTTTGCTAGTAGATTTACAGCATGGGGATTTTAGGCTAGAAGACTCCATGGAAGGAGACTTACCTCCTATTCTAAGTGTGGAAAACAAAAATTTGGACTAGGTCTATTATATGCTGATTTACTGCTTAGGTCCTTGACCTCTTCGTTGATCTCTTTACCTGACATTTGGTGAATCTTGGCCCCTTGGGTAATTGCTTTGATGCTGGCTGCTCAGCTCAAACGTGCATGCCTTATGAAGATGTAGTTTCAAGCAAGCTTCCTGCCTTTCTGGTGTATGTGGTTAGAGTGATAAATGTTACATTGATTATGTGATTGTCAGGATTTCGAAGTATCATCTGTATAAATAATACTTTTTGATTCTTTGGAGCTTGGACAATTACTAGTGTAGCCTTTGTATTTCTTTTTATTTTGGGAGCTATTCTGTCTCAATAGATATGTGTCTTGCAATTTCCTTGCAGTGTTTCACTTTCATTACTGGAGGAATGAGTGGCCTGCCTGAATAATTATGTTTTCCGTTCTCATGGATTTCTGCCCTAATTTAGGTAACACAAGATTTTATATTAGGGGTTCTTCCTTTGGTATACATAGAAAGTTGAAAGACTTGAAAGAGTTGAAACAATTATATCCTTTCTCAGTAACCTTTAAAAAGCATGACTGCTTTGGAGAACTGCAATTTAGGAATCTCTCTTTCTCTTATTATTTTTTTTATGTATGAAATGTCTTTTCCCTTTCTTATCTCTATTTAGTGGACTCTGTCTGATGCTAATGTGGAATAAACTATGTAATTCTTCACTGGTGTGTGTGGCAAGGTCATGTATTTTTACGCTGGAGTCAAGAGGCGCATAGGTCATTTAACTGTGAATGGACTGCTCTCATTATTATGATTTTATGAGACAAGCCACTATGAAAAGTTTATATGTAGATTTCATATGTTACTCTGCATCATTTATCACCATTACTCATTGATGATTGCTTCTTACCTCTTCAGGCCAGAAGCCTTCAAGTCACAAGCTATTGACAGCTCCACTAGAAATTCCCCAAGACCTGTTTCTGAACAGGAAGCAGAAGATTCAGGCTCAAGTGATGATGATGGACTTCCACCACTTGAAACGAACATGAATAGAAGGAGGCCGTATGACTTGCATTCAGGATCAGCATCAAATTCTGATGCAGATAGCGACACTAATGAAGAGTCTTAGACATGTAATTCTGGTAATTTCTTTGTAGCTTTTAGATGTTATAGTCAGGCACTTGCACGAACAATTATCACTACTCTATATTCTCTCTCAAATCGTGCGCAGAAATGCTTCTAAGCAATTTTTGTAGAGTCATCTATGTGATATTGAATAGATCCAGGTGGTACATGTTATTCAGAATTTCAGATAACTGTAAAGTGAACTCCAGTGCTACTGATAGTTGTGTTTATTTTGCTATTAGTATGCTGTTATTTTCACGTCTTGCTCAGTTGCTCTTCTGTTGGCCTTACGACTAATTCTGAGCTGTATGCATACACTGACCTGCGACATGACTAGATGGATTTGTGAAGGTTACGTAGAGTTGTATTTCATGAAATCATTTGGTATAGAAAATTTTACTAGTCCATCGTGATTGAACGATATCCGTTTGCAAATGTCAAAAAATGACAAATAAGTCAACATCTGCATAAGCTTTGCCAACGTGGCATGTTTGTTCTAAGGTCCAAAGTACAGTATAAAGATCGTTATCAGAGAATATTTAGCACTCTCCCAAGTTATTTTCACTCCATTCATGAAGAAATTAAAATCCAATTTGGTTTGTGTAGCTTCACTCCTTTTTCTTCCCAATATGCCCTATATTGGTCTATGATCAAGATAAATCCTATTTCAAGCTCTATTACTTATAATTATAAATTTGGGAGGATGCTAAAAACAATGGTGTTTCCGACTTTCAGCATTGATTAGGATGAACTAGCAAAGACACTAAGGCGCATGAGATGTCAATGAATAAACACTCCATAAAAAATATACTTGTACGGTGTAAAATAATATATCAACATCCTGTCTTCAAAATTCTTTTTTTTCCGAAACCTTATCACATGATAAGCTGAATAGCATATTACGTACAAATTTTGTATTGTTGGCCCACCATGCCACCAAACTGGTAAAAGTGTGGAGTGCTATACGGATAAGGGAAGTTCTTTCACGTTCTCTCAACTTTGGCAGGGTAGCACTCAGCAAATCACACCAAATAGCGAGTTATTAATTACAGCATCAATTACTTAGCGTTGTATGATATTCTTTTCCTTCTGACAAATTGAAGAAATTAAAGTTGTTAAGTGAACTACTGCATCTAAAACTACCAGTCAATATTTTCCAACACAAGCAAAGTTAACTTTAATCAGTTCCCTTTTCTCCCTCTTGTTATCATAATGATCATATTTCATTTTCCCATTGCTTAGATTCCTTCCCCTTTTTCTTTAAAGTACATTTGGAGAATATTTTACGTACTTCTAAGTTCTAACATTTTATTCCGAATGCATTAGAATAAAGTATTGGGGTACAAAGAAGAAGTGTTACATATATAGGGTAATATCCAAACCATCACTAATTAGATGACCAACATTAACAATTCAATACGCTACTCGATTTGCTTCTTTGCAAATATGCTAGATCTCTTAATGATCAAACTTTCATAAGAGCAATTGGATGGCTAGACATCGGAAAATACGTTGATCACTAGACGATTGTCCACTTCGAATGTTTTTGATTTCTTGTTCAATGGCTAGGGGAATGTCAATATGAAAAGTTGTAGCCTATGCAATGACGCATTAAGTGATGTCAAGGATGAAAGCGTGTATATGAAATACTCCGTGGTTATGTGGTATATAGGTTCAAAAGTAAAAATACAATGTACCTATGGGTACACTAAGATTTAAAAGATTGAGCGTTTTTAATAAGCATATTTTACAAAGATAAACATTGCCAATTTTTTTTATTTAGACACTATTTATGATACTCTATATAATTCATAGTTAAATTCTAACTTTCAATTCGGGTTAACGGTTAGGGTCACAAAAGTCTATCTTAGATATGGGTGTACAGGAAAAGTCGTTACTTATTAGAGACAAACTCACATTTCAATAAGATTTGTTTCAAATAAAATCATTCCATAAACAGAGCATGACATTTCCCTCTTCTTCTCCTCTTTTCCCTTCGTGTCACTTTCTTTCCTATTCCACGTTTTCCATGGCTTCCCCTTCAAATAACTTTCTCTCTCCTCTCTTTCCTCACAATACCCACCTCTCTTTCTCTCTCTAAAACTCAATCCCCCATTTTTTCTCATCAATATAAAAAACCCATTAATAAAAAACCGCCATTAATATGAGATTATATGCGTATGTATTAGAAGCTAAAGATTTACCAGTAAAAAACAGTAGCTATGTGAAGCTTCAAGTGGGTAAATTCAAGTCCAAAACCCGAATTGTTTCCGGGTCTGACCCGGTTTGGAATGAGGAATTTGTATTCCGGGTTCATGATTTGGAAGATGAACTTGTTTTGTCGATTTATCATCATGATGAAGATGATTCTTATGCCCGGTTCTTTAATGTTTCCGGGTTTTTGGTGGGTCGGGTTCGGGTTCCGGTTTGGACCGTCGTCGGCGAAGAGAGTGAATGTTTACCCCCTACTTGGTTTTCCCTTCAGAATCCTAAAGCTGGGAAGCGCATGAAAAAAAAATTGTGGTTTGTATCTCTTTTTCTTGTTCTTTAATTTGTTGAGTTTTACGTTGTAATTTGTATTGTTTAACTTTTATATATGAATTTTAATGTGTTTTGGATTTGATTGAGTATTTGCACTGTGCGAATTAATTGTTCACGTTGATGGTGTAATTTGAATTGGTAATGTGACAACTTAATCTGGTCGGAGAGGTAGTATCTGTTTCGGGAGCGTAGAACAATGTGATAATTATTTGCGAATTTTTGCTACGTTGATGGTGTAATTTGAACTAGTAATGTGACGACTCAATCTAGACGGAGATAGTATATGTTTCGGAAGCGTAGAACAATGTGATTATTATTTGTGGCTGTGAGAAGTGGCTTTCTTGTTGTTTTGTTGGAACGTCATTGTAAATTGGGGTGTTTCTTTCTGTGATTCTATTATTCTACTTCTTGTTTTGTGATCCTACTAGGCTACCACTGCATATCACCATGTCCTGTCATTTGTTGGTGTTGGGATGTATAGACATGTAATATAATGCCTTACTGTTTGCAAAATGTAGAGTTATAGTCTTCCCTTTTGCTGTGGCAGGCATTGCCCTTGAATGCGGTTAGTAAAGTAGTGGACTGAAAACTAAGACAAAATTAGTAGGTTGAATTGCTTATCTTGCCTTGAACCTTAAAACAAGAATGTAAAATATTGGAAGATTTGGCCTACTCTTTTCTATTTTGTTAGAAGAGGTTATCATAGGATGTATTTGTATTTTGCTCTCAAGTAAGCAATGAACTAACTATGGGAAAGATTTCAGGATTTTTAGTTAAGTGAGACTTAAGGAAGTTTCCTTTTTGAGTAACAGTTTATTGGCGGTCTCTCTAGCTTGGCTATTACAAGTAATATATATCTCATTATGCTATGCATCTAAATAAATCACCCTACATGTGTAGGAAAAATTCTGTTGACTCTCACTCTGCACGGAAGAGGAGATGTTGCAAATGCGGATCTCTCCTTGTCTGAACAATCATGTACCAGAACATCTAATGGTAAAGAAGAGGATTTCCCAGATCATGGATCTGTGAATTCCTCTTCTCCTAAAGCTCCTCCTTTGAAGGTTCCACATGGGAAAAAAATGATGAAAGCTGTAACTAAACATTTGGATAAGCTTCTGCATAAGAATGGGGAACCCTCAAAAAGTGATGAATCTTCAGACTTTAGTGTTAGTCCTTCTGAGTATGAAGCTTGTGTGCAGGACGAATCACTGCCATCTAGTAGTTTTGAAGAATCTTTGGATATGATGCAGTCTAGAGATGAGGAGTTAGAAATGCCTGAGAATCTGCAAGGCGGGATTCTTCTTGATCAGACATATGTGGTTACATCGAAAGATCTTAATGCCTTTCTGTTTGCTCCAGATTCACAGTTTAGGAGAGAACTTTCAGAGTTACAGGGAACAACTGATATACAAGAGAGCCCTTGGACTTGTAAATCAGGTGATTCAACACGTTTATCACGATTGGTCACGTACATCAATCCTGCAAGCAAGTTATGTAAGGCTGTTAAAGCCACTGAGGAGCAGACTTATGTCAAAGCTGATGGTGCTGAGTTTGCTGTTTTCGTAAGTATAGCTACACCAGATGTTCCATATGGGAATACATTCAAGGTTGAGTTGCTATACAAAATCATGCCTGGTCCAGAATTATCTTCAGGCGAGGAATCCTCCCGTCTTCTGATTTCTTGGGGCATAAATTTTTCACAGAGTACCTTAATGAAAGGTATGATTGAGAATGGAGCAAAGCAAGGGCTGAAGGAGAGCTTTGACCATTTTAGTAGATTGCTGGCTCAGAAGTTCAAAGTTTTGGATAGTGAGGATTCCTCAGAAAAGGATCATGTCTTGGAAGCTCTTGAAAGGGAACATCAGTCAGATTGGGAGTTGGCTACTGAGTATTTTGGGAACCTTACCGTAGTTGCCGCCATCTTTCTTACATTATATGTAGTTGTACATATCCTAATATCTGTGCCCCATGAGCCTCAGGGACTTGAGATTAATGGCCTTATTTTGCCTGACAGTTTTGGACAGCTCATCACTTGTGGGGTTTTAGTGCTTCTTTTAGAGCGTGTATATAACATGGTTTCTCTCTTTGTACAAGCCAGACTACGTGTAGGTAATAACCATTTTTATATCTACATCCTAATGTTTAAGATTTGAAGTCTACTTACTATGTGCATATTCTTGATGTCGTACTCTATATTTGCAGGAAACGATCATGGGATTAAATCTCAGGGTGATGGTTGGAAAGTTACAGTAGCTTTGGTTGAAGCTGTCAACTTACCGTCACTGGACACAGCAGAACCTTCTGATCCCTTTGTGGTCTTTACCTGTAATGGAAAAACTAGGACAAGCTCCGTACAGCTTCAAACTTGTGATCCACAATGGAACGGTTTGGCCTTTTGCTTAATGTGTACCCTGTGCAATTATTACTCCATTTTATTACTTTTTCTTATGTCCATCTATGAATTTATGCAGAGATACTTGAGTTTGATGCTTCAGAGGAGCTACCTTCAGTCCTTGATGTTGAAGTATTTGATTTTGGTGGCCCATTTGACCAGACAGCCTCGCTTGGGCACACAGAGATCAATTTTCTGAAGCACTCAGCAGCAGAACTGGCTGATATGTGGGTTCCTCTTGAAGGGAAGGCTGTTTCCTCTCAGGCGAAATTGCATTTAAGAATCTTTGTGGAGAACAAAAAGGGAGTTGAAACAGTCAAAGGGTACCTCAACAAAATGGAAAAAGAAGTTGGAAAGAAGGTAGAGGGCTATTGATTATTATGTTGTTTAGCTAGTCTGTCAAAATATTTCTGTCCTTGGGTTTTTTTTTTTTTTTTTTTTTTTTTTTTTTTTTTTTTTTTGGCAAGGAATTGCACATCTTGTATATTGTGTGAGAGAGAGGATGTAACATGTTTATTTGACAGCTGAATCTTCGGTCTCCCCACAAGAACTCCTCGTTTCAGAAGCTGTTTGGCTTGCCACCAGAAGAATTTTTGATCAAGGATTACTCGTGTTCTTTGAGGAGAAAGATGCCTTTACAGGTAAATCTATATGGGTAAAGCATTTCACTGTGCAATGGTTTTGAAAGAACAGGATTTTGTCATTAATGATTAGAAGCATGATGCAACTCAATATCTGCATTCATTTTTTTATAATCATCTTTTTAAGTGCTCTTAATTGGAATTAGTAATACTGATAGACAGTAGTTAGATAGTGATTGATGAAGAAAGCCGTTGGAATTCTCTTGAGTTGGAGTGAATGCCTTTATGTGGAAAATATGAATTAATCAAAGAAGAGCTCATTTGGTTCAGCTGTTAAGGGACCTTCTAAAATTTGTTTGAAATTGATGGGAGATTTACTCAAGTCTGCATGAGGGTGGAGCGAGTCTCATTCCATATTTGAGGGCACGCATGGAATGATGGAAATTAAATAGGAGGTAAATAGTATTCTGAAACTAATGTGGAAAGTAAACTATTGTTAAGAGTAGTCAGGAGGGTAATTACCCCCCCCCCCCCTCACCCCCCTTTTCCTCTTTTCTATCTCCTCCGTATCCTAATAACCCAGTGCCCCTTATTGATTTTGTATACCATATAATTCATTCCCTCATTCCAAGCATGATTTGAGTGGGAAAATGGGACAATAGTGCTGACATTACTTACATTTTTATCAACTTAGTGCTACCTAAAAGTTGTGAATTTTGCAGGGTCGTCTCTTTTTATCAGCAAGAATAGTTGGATTCTACAGTAATTTCTTCGGACACAAGACCAAATTTTTCTTTTTATGGGAGGACATTGAAGATATTGAAGTGCAGGATCCCACCATGTCATCATTTGGTAGTCCTACTCTTATCATAATCTTGCGGAAAGGGAGAGGCATAGATGCAAGGCATGGTGCCAGGACTCAGGATGAAGAGGGCAGGCTTAAGTTCTATTTTCAATCATTTATTCCATTTGAAGTTGCCAGCAAGTAAATTCTGCTACTTATATGGAGCTTTATTTTCATTATTGTCTGGATTTTATGAGGGGGCGCTGTTTGAACTACTTTGAAAACATTCCCTTTTTTTACGAGTGACAGGACAATCACGGCCTTATGGAGATCAAGGACAGCTGCTCTGGAGAGGAAGGCCCTGGGCACAGAAGAAGACCAGGGGAATCAAGAAAGTCTGTTGGTTCCACTTGAAAATGACAATCATTTCCATGTTGAAGAGTCAAATATGTTGAAGATTTATTCCTCTACTCTTCCTGTCGATGTAAGTAATTGATGAATTTGTACATTCTAGAGTTTAGACTTCATGTCATCAACTCATCATTGACCTCAACTCCTCGAGCTATACATGCATCTTCTTGCTGAGGCCTGAGGGACTGAAGTGTAATTAAAGACAGTCGGAACTGATGATGATGTTTCAATCAAAATTAAGTGGTGGTGAATTTATGGTGTTGTTAAATCTCTTTCGCCCGGTCAAAACTACTACCTCCGTTACATATTATTTGAAACAATTTGACATAAAGTAGGGAAAAATGTCTAATCGTTGCAAATAATATGTAACGGAGGTAGTATGTTAAAAGCTAACATCTAACCCTTTAATTGTAAAACTATGACTTAGATTACTGTCTAACTAAAGTCTTTGTAATTATAAAACTATGACTTAGATTACTGTCTAACTATAGTCTTTGTAAACTGGAATCTTACAAAAGTTCCTTAGATACATGCTTGGACAAACTTTACATAGATCCAAAGTGGAAAACAATTTCTACAAAGAGGATGTCTAATTTTTAATTTTGAAGGTGTTTAGTTGCCGTTTGGCCATCATTATTTTGATCATATTTCTGAGATATTGAAAAAGATTTTAACAACTTCATTGCAGATCAAATCCTTAATGAAGATGTTTGGAGGAGGAAATTTAGAGCGTAAAGTGATGGCAAAATCTGGTTGTCTGAACTATGTCACAACAGAGTGGCAATCAGTGAAGCCTGATGTTTATGAAAGGCAACTTTCTTATAAATTTAATCACATTGTCTCCGTTTTTGGAGGGGAAGTGCGATGCAGCCAGAGAAAATCATTCCTTGGTGATACAGGTGGATGGATCGTGAATGAAGCCATGGCCCTCCATGATATTCCGTTTGGTGACCACTTTCGTGTATGTTGATACATTGCAACTTATTAGGCTTCTTATAATTGTGTTTAGTTACTTGGTTTCTTAGTACCATTTTTGATATGAATGCAGGTTCATTTGAGCTATCACCTTGAAAGTCTTCCATCAACCAAAGATGCATGTAAATGTGAGGTATACATGGGAATTTTGTGGCTAAAAGACTGCAAATTCCAACAGAGAATCGTTAAAAATATAAATGAGAAGTTCTCCTGCAGATTAAAGTCTATTTTTGAGCTTGTAAAGAAAGAAATTCTATTGGCAAATGAACATTCAGTATAGTACTCCGTAGGGTTTTTTTTTTTTTTTTTTTTTTTCTTTTTTTTGGGTAGGGCGTAATGTTTACAATAACCAATTTTTTTCAAAGGATCCATAGAGTTGGTAATTGTGTGTATTTTGATGGATCCATAGGGTTATAATTGTTTGTATTATATCTTTAATTTCGTTTTTTAGGGAAAAAATTACTATAATGACCATTCCATATAGAAGTTCTCTGTTTTTCGGTAGGATGTAATTTCTATGATTGACAATTTTTCTTCAATGGATCCTTAGAATTAGATAATTGGATTATAAGTTTATATTTTAATGTATAATTGGGTGAACGGGCCCGTCAAAAAAAAAATTAATTGGGCAAACGGGTGAAGTACATCTATTCCTAAAACTTTTGTTATAATTACTATTTGCACACAAGTTATTAACAGAGATGGAATGTTGATATTGTGGCTGGTGAGTGGGTATAAGATAAGTATAAATTGAGGAAAATAAAACTTAGTAGCATGTTCTTTAATCTAAAAAACATATAAATGAATTAATTTTAACTTATTGACAATCAAGATATGACATTATTTATTGATAAATTTTGTGCATCCTCAATTGTGCCTATCAAAGTACTCCATAATGCAAGATGCAACCTTTTTTTTTTTTTTTGAACTATTCACGTAAGTTTAATATGCAATCTCCACCAACATTCTATGCGATTTGAGATGATAAAACAATAGTGCGATGGATAGTAGAGTACTACTCCGTATCTAGGAGTATGTACCAACCATTTTACGTGATGGTGATGATACAATACTATGACAGTACTACTTAGTATGTTATAGGGGTATGGCCATATGGGGTATCCGACTATCCGGATATGTAATGCGAATTGGGGTGACAAAAATCATACTACAAGCCCCTCAACAAGTACTGTGTAACAGACACCCTCATCTGCAACAAAAACAATTATTCACTTTACGAGTCTCCACTAATTTCGTTACCTTCACCATTTCTAAATGCTAATCCACTAATCCCCCCTAAAATTCTCCCCTCTTCTCTAATTAATCCCTTCCATCTTCTCAATCGTCATCATCATTTCATCCTCTCTCTCTCAAACACACTTTCTCTCTCCTCTCACCTTGATCAAATCCTCCATTTCCAGTATTCCACCATCTTCATCTTCTTCTTCTTCTTCTTCATCTTTCTCTCTCTTCCTGCAATCATGGATCCAATCCCCACCAACTTCCCAGTCCTCTCCTACGTCATGGCTCGAGTCCCATCACTCTCCTCTCTCCGCCAACCCACCGCACCCTCCCACGACATCGAACAACCCCCTTCTTCTTCTTCCTCCGCCCCTTTCCAGGACCCCCTCGTCGAAACCATGCCCCACCTCAAAAACCCCAAGGTCATGTCCGCCATGGCCGAAGCCGTCTCCGAGATCTCCCAAACTCGCTCCATCCTCCAAGCCCTCGGCGAACGCCCTGATCACGAATCCATCGACATCGCCAAATCCAAAGTCGCCGAAATCGACTCCCTCCTCTCCTCCCAACTCGAGGAAATCGCCCTCTCCCCTCGCTCCCCCGACGTCGACAGCGAGCGGGAGAAGGCGGAGCGGGAGAAGATGATGTATAAGGCTGTTATCCAGCTTGATGAGATGCATGATGCGTATGAGAAGCTGCTCAGGAGTGCTGAGGAGAAGCTGATGAAGATTTATGATTCTGCTGTTAGAGAGAAGGAAGGTGGGGTTCGTGATGGGGACGCCATTGATGAAGAGGAGGAGGAGGAAGAAGAAGATGAGATGAATGAGGATGTTGTTGCGGTTTTGAAGGATGAATATGTTGAGAAGGTTGATTTGACTGGTAGGAAGTTGAAGATTCTTCCTGAAGCTTTTGGGAAGCTTCGTCATCTTGTTTTTCTTAATTTGTCTAGCAATCAACTCCAGGTTTTTCATTCTTCTCTTTCTTTGTCGTTTTATTGTGTTGATTGAGTTTTTTGATTGCTTGGATTTGGAATTTTAGTTGAATTATTTATACACGGTTGTTGACTTGTTGTTGGGTTATTGGATTTCGATTGAATTTTAGCTGATTTTGCATTTGCCTGCTTAGTTTGATGAATATGTACGATTTAGGGAGGAAAATGATTAAAGATCATGCATTTGTTTGTATTTCTATGAATTACCAAACTAGAGATATGAGATATGATGAGATTGATGACCCATTATGTGACTTGGATGGTATGGTGTGTCCTGCATCATTCCTAATTCTAGATCATATTAGTTATGAGTGATTTAGGATTGACGATATATGGTGGTTGGTTTAGGAGAGCGGATCGATTTTGTGCTTGCATATGATGTTTATTGGATGAGTTGTATGAGGTATTCTATTGACTTTTGGAATGTTGTTATGGAGTAGTAAACATTCGTTTCTTATGGTTGAAACCTGATTTGTGTTTTAAGGATTGACAAACTAATGGTGTGTGGGTTTAGAAGGGAGGGTCGATTTTGTGCTTGATGAGTTGTATGAAGGAATTTGTTTGACTTTTGGAATGCTATTATGGAAATTTAAATTGACGAACTAATGGTGTGTGGGTTTAGAAGAGCAGATTGATTTTGTGCATGGAGATGATGTTTGTTGGATAAATTGTATAATGACTTTTGAATTACTGTTACTGAGTATTAGAAGCCTGTTTCTTCTGATGGAAACTTGATTTCAACTTTTAACCTAAAATCCTACTTGAAATCAAGCTAGACGCAAGTAGCTATTATCTCAAGCTTTTCAGTTTCCTGAGCTGGTTCCGTAGAAAACAGAAAGATTTTCATAAGATAGTTAAGATAGAAGGTTTTTATCTAGTATTTGAGTTCCATAGTTATTAGGGTTGTATGTGGCACACCACACATACACCAGCCTTTGCTTCTAATCTAGGTTTGATCAGCAAAAACTATGTTGAAATGCCTCTCGAGAGGTCCTGCTAGTCAAGGTTAGGGGGGTGTTTCCGTGGTTGTATGCAGCCTCTCTGTGATAATAGAGAGGTGATTCCCCATTGGGCGTTGATCGGATATGCAACAACTCTCTCCTACTTGAAAATCAAAAAGGGAAAAGACAATAAAAGGATTTATTGAATTTTAGTCCATCCTTACACAAAGTCAAAGAATAGTGAATATTTGACTGCAACGGAGTACTATGTATGGAGGCAGGCATTAAGAGAATAGCTGAATAGTAGTAGCTGTAATATTTGATGGATCTCTAAATTATCATTTCAATATTCAATCAAATGAGAACCATAGAGTATGGTTATCCACTGGAGAAGTTGATTGGTACCCTTATCTGTGACATCTGTTTGCCTTCTACTAACAGCCAAGCCAGATCTTTGTGAAGAACCTAATGATTTGCATTTCAAGATTTGACTCATAGCAAATCAATATGGCTTCGAAGCATGTAGAAAAATGGTTAAGCAACGCTAGAATGCAGATATGGTCACATGGATGATACTCCTGTGAACTGTTTATCTTCGGTTGTGTCAAAAAATCATTCTAGTCTATAACTGTCACATGTCTTGAGACTGTTGACTGCATTCAATACTTTCCTCTTATCTTACTTATTCCTTGCTCAGTAGACTTCCATTTATTGTCTATCTTAAGACATTTGAGTTTCTGTGTTTTAGACTTTTAGATACATATAGCAGAATGTTGTATGAACAACTGGTTCTCAAGAGTCTGTATTCTGGATTTACCCAATTAAATTAGTAAAAAGTTGTTAAAATCTGTAAAATTGTTGCCCCTGTAATATTTGTTAATAATGCCTTCAGCAACGTTCATCCTTGATAATAAATTCTCAAACCATCAACTTGGGGGGGGGGGTGGATTGGAGATTCCAGTCTTGTTTCAGTTATTGTCTGAATGAGGTGACCAGGTGGGACCAAAAGGACTCAAAATGGTAATGGTTTCATTTGGAAAAGAGGAGAATGGGGGGAGTGAACTCTTGATAAATAAGATATTCCTCCATCTCATAAAGCTGAGTGGTGTGTGTACAATTTTTAGGAAACAATTTTTTTGTCAATCTGAGTGGTGTGTCTACAATTTGGTGATTAGAGTTTTGTTCATCTGTGGTAAAATACTGGTTCTCACCCTGCTGAAGCCTGAAGGTATCTAGTGGTATCTCTTAGGTCAAATTCACTCTAAAACATATGCTACTGAATACAATGTCAGTGTGAAAGACAATTTGAAGCATATATGTGAACCAATTGGTATCAGCTTGCAGAAAATTTTGTGCAATCATGCAATTTAAAGCTCATTTGCAGTAGTTTAAATCTCCAGGCTAAGTTCTTTCCTTTCCAACCAACCTTTTTCTTGGGGCTGCAGTCCTAAATTTGTTCCTATGATAAATAAATTTCCTTGTTTGTAAGAAAAGTTGTTTGAGAGCTGGTATGTGGGACCTGGTGTTTTTTTTTTTGGGTGTAATTATGCCTTGATGTTTTTATATTGTATATTTTATATTTTTATGGCTTAGCTATGTTGCTATTGCGTTATCTATAAACTGGTAAATGTTATTCAATTTTATCCTCCTAATGCTCAGTGCTTTTGGTTTGTAGTCTATTCCTGACTCTGTAGCCGGGCTGGAAAATCTTGAAGAGTTTAATCTGTCCTCCAACTCTCTGCAATCACTAGCAGACTCTATTGGTCTGCTCCTTAAATTGAAGATCCTCAATGTGTCTGGCAACAAGCTAACTACCCTTCCTGACAGCATCAGCCACTGCAGGTAATGCTCGATTCTTTTCCAAATACTTCTAAAAGTCAATTTGGGGAAGTCTTTTGATTTTTGGTCTTTTCAGGTCGCTGGTGGAGTTGGATGCTAGTTTCAATAACCTAGCATACTTGCCAACTAACATAGGTTATGAGTTGGTGAACTTGAAAAAACTTGCAGTTCAATACAATAAGATCCGTTCTCTTCCAACATCTGTTGGTGAGATGAAATCTCTTCAACACCTGGACGTGCACTTCAATGAGCTTCATGGCCTTCCCCTGACAATTGGCAAACTCAAAAACCTTTTGACTGTAAACCTTAGTGGCAATTTCAGTGATATGAAGGAGTTACCTGAGACATTTGGCGAACTAATCAATCTTGAAGAACTAGACCTGAGCAACAACCAGATTCATTCCCTGCCAAATTCATTTGGAAGGCTGGAGAAGCTGTCGAAGCTTAATTTGGAACAGAACCCTATTGTCATTCCTCCCGTTGAGGTTGTGAAAGAAGGGGTCGAGGCCGTGAAGCTTTTCATGGCTAAGAGATGGGCTGATCTCCTGTTGGAGGAAGAAGAAAGGAGCAGGCCAGTGACGCAGGAAGGACAGGAGACTGGATGGTTGAAACGAAGCGTTTCTAAGATTAATGAAGTTGTTTCTAAAGCCTCTGAATATCTTGGATCTCCTCGAAGTCCCCAAGACCCTTACCTTGACCAACCTCTATGATCAGTATGCAAACTGACATGCTCTTCTTTCATTTTCCTGATCGTTTTTGTGAGCTATAAGAATTTTGCTCATTTCTGCAACTACGCCGATGGCCCTCTCCCCATTTTTTTGTTGGTTACAGACTTACAGCTTGGTACGGGCAGAAAAGTCTTGATAAAGTTGGTGTTTGCGTATTGAACACTTTTGACTTATTCACTAAGTTTTGCAGATTAGTGTAGGATAACAGTTTTGTCTGTGTAATAAGTATGAAAATTGCAGTGTGCTATTTTGGGCTGTTGTGTTATATGCAGCTAGCATTTCTTGGCTTATAATGTGGGTACATATTGTCAAAAAATAGTGATTGTAGTATCCATATTGCAGTTTTAAAAGCATAGTTTTGATACTTTTGAATTTCAACGGTGCTTTACTTAGATTCAAGTTTTGTTTGTATACACTAGAATTCGTTGCGAATATAACCTATTAAGTGAAATATTACGGGAATATCAACATCTCTCAATAACATAAAGAAGAAACACTAGACATAGCCGTTATCTAATACGTTAGAGTAATTATATAGCGCCAAGCCTGTTAACGTATTTTCCAAGGTTACAATATCAAAATTGACAAATACATCCCTAATATATGGGATAATAAAGTTCATTATGCCCCTTGAGGCCTTGATATCTTTCACAAGTTTAATTGACTAATAAATTTATATTTTCTCGAAAAATCGGTAAACTTTTGTAATTTCGCAAATCATCTATTGGAGCGATTTCCATAGATATTACTCGTATTAGATGAAATTGATTGATGGGTATTGATTGATTTATGTACTACGCATATTTTTTTTTTGTATTGGTGAAATGGACTAAACATACACGAAAATTTCGTCAAAAAAAAATACACGAAAGTTTCCACGCAAAGCTTAGTAGTTTATCTTTTTGAAGAAGAAACACTAGACATAGCCTCAGTTAGTGCCCAACTACTAGCCACAAGAGGAAGGTCGTCATGCCATTATTAGGAAGAAAAGTACTCGCAAAGTTTTATTTTATTTTTTGTTTTTCTAGTCTTTGTACATGACAATTCTTGAATTACTTGAAACAATGATTATATTTTCAGTATTATTGTAACTTTAATTTTACTCCATATTTATGAATAAACAAAATTATTTAGAATTAGTGTGTCGTGACAACTTTATTATACAAATATGAGTGAAACTCATTTCTAGGCTTCTAGTTAGTTATTCATATTATAATTTGCATTTTTGACTTTCAAACCTTGGAATGAAATTGAGTCATTTTGGATTGTATCGATTTAGATAGAACAGGTTAAATTTAGGCAAATTTGGCCTCAACAATATGAACTTTTTAACAAGGTGTACATATAGAGCACCATGAACTTTGACTAATAGCCGTAACACCATCAACTTTTACATTGGGTGCACAAAATATCATAAATAAAACCTAGGACCGGAATTTTGTCGAATACGTGGAATCTTTTATATTTTATTAACTTTTTGCCAAATTTGATATCATATTTAGTCCTCAAGGTCGAAATTGGCCCATGATCTTAACCGGTATAATTTTGTAGCATGCAAAGCGATGCTTTTTTGTAATTTTTTTTTTTGGCTAAATTTGATCTCTAAATTGACCCATATTGACTAAGTTGACCTCCAAAACCTCATTTAAATATTTTTTTCCGCATACAAATCGAGGCACACACAATTTTTTTATAATAATAAAAATATTAGGTACCTAGTCTTCGGCAAAATTTTTGGTATCGAACTTAATTAATGATATTTTGTACCCCTAATGAAGAATTTTGTGTTGTTATAGCTACCAGTCAAAATTCATGCTGCTACTATTCAAAATTCATATTGCTACTTACACCTTGTTAAAAGTTTGTGCTATTGAGGCCAACTTTGCTTTAAATTTAATGGTCATAAAATATTTGATTTGATTCCGAATTAACTTTGAAATACTAAAGTATAATTGTTCAATTTCAAAGTAACCATAATCTAGTCAATAAAAATGAACAAATCACAAACACAAAAAAATTCCACACAATTAAAATGACCAATTTACCCTTCCCAAAATCTTTCCTTAGCCTAGTATCCTTTCTTTTAGAAGAAGAAACACTCAAAGCTATAAAAGCAGGAAGGTGCATACATTTGGGATAAACATACACACAGCTCAAGAGTTTTAGGATAGAGATTATCGAACCTGGAAAAATATCGCGGCTAACGGGTACGCGCGTTAATATATAATCTCAATAATAAATACAGTAATTAGGTTTCCAATTTTCACAAAAATTTGTTTCTTTTTTCATTCCGAAAATCTCTCTTCCAAAAAAAAAAAAAAAAAAAATTGTTCAAAAACCCTTTAAATTCTCCAAATTAGGGTTAGCTAGAATTTCAGCGGCTTACTGGTACGCTTTCTTTTGATTTTTGTCGACTGCTTCTTCTCCAGTGGCGATACCTAAGAAGATCGCGGAAGATATCATGGCTAATTCTGTTGTAATTAAGGTTTGGATTGAATCAATTTTATTAATTTTTTAAGTATTTCAATTTCAATTTCAATTTTTGTTGATTTTCCTTTGATAGTATTATTATTATTATTATTATTATTATTATTATTTATTTTTTTTGACAATCCTTTGATATTATTTGATGTTTGCTAATTTTGGTTTGATTTGTGTATAATTGTGTGTGATAGTGAAATTGCTTATCAAATTATCTGATCACACTGTTTGATTTTGGTAATTGTTCGCAGAAATTAGGTTTTGTAATGTGAAATCTGAAATTGCATGTCAAATTTATTTGAATTTTTATTTTAATTTTCGTAATTGTTTGTCCAAATTAGGGCTTATTCTTTCGATTGGGTCTTTGATTTGATGGATCGAATTATTGATTGGTTGTTGATCTCCATGTGGTTTGATGATGGTGTATTATTCAATTGTAATTGAGGTCTTGTAAATTGACTGTTTTTTTTCGGATTTTGTTCTTGTAATTATTTGTCACCGTATATTATAATTATGCTATGAATTGAAGTGAACTTCCGGTAAATAGGGATGATGAGAGTGTTGGTGATGTATTTTGCTAAGCTACTTGCTGCTGTTTTAATTGATTAAATGCCAGATCAACATTTACAATAGAAATTACTCTGTAGTCGTGATCAATAACAGATGTTATATATAGGCTCTTGTATCATGGCGTAATATGACTTTGATTATTGTTGATGACGAAGAGTGTACAGAAATCCTCTTAACAGACTAAACAATACATTTATGAGTAATAGTAGGAGTGAGAGGTTTTTAACATTATACAAGGAGAAAAGAAAAGATTTATGAGAGAATGTCTGCTAGTAATCTTTGACGGTGTGAAAGATTCTGTATCGTCATTTTTCTTTTGTATTACCGTATTACCTGATGGTGCAAGTTACATTTTGCTCTCTTCATTTAGTCTCTGTATTCTATAATCAAGTTAGTTAAGTTGGCTATAATGTGGACTTCCATCTTCATGATTTGAGATTATGGACATTAGTGATTACCGATAGTTGGGGCTATAGGGTTGCAATGGGTCTTTTAAAGCTTGAACTTGTGCTTGTCATGTCATTATCTCTGAATATTCTTCTTATGTATTACTTTTTAGGTGAAATATGAGGATACACTCAGGCGTTTCAATGTTCCTGTTAAGGGTCAGTGCTTAGATCTAAACATGGAAGGTCTGAGGCTGAAGATATGCTCTCTCTTCAACTTTCCATCGGGTGCAAATTTTACCTTGACATATCTAGATGAAGATGATGACTTGGTCACCCTTGTTGATGATGAAGATCTTCATGATGTTGTTAGGCAGGATCTGGATCCAGTTAGGATCACTGTTAGCCTGAAAACAGACAAAACTGTTCAACCTTGTGCTACAAAAAATGAAAGCTCAATGCCTAGAGGATCATCTTCATCTTCTACACAACACAATGGCAATCAAAATGTTGCTGAAGTCTTGAAATCTGTTCCGGAGCCTCTACGTGATGCTTTTACAAAGATATCTACTGAATTGTCATCAAAAGCTGCATCTACTTCTCCTATACTTGCTGATCTCGTGGATGGTTTTTCGAAAATGGGGCAGCAATACCTGAATGTATCTCCTCCTGGTATTACTAATGTCAGCAGTCATGCAAAAAACTGTTACGATCCCAATCGAAACGGTCTAAGTAGAAACGATGATGCATTTATTGGTGAAAGGGTAAACTTTAATGATTCTCAAACACCTAGTTCTGTGCAGCCGACTCTTAGAAGCACCACTGAAGCAACAGGAGAAGCAGAACCCCCTAGACCTCCCCTACCTTTACCGTTTTCCCACAAAGGCAAGAATGCAATCTCTGAACCTTCATCTCTCAGATTGTCAACTAGTGAAGGTAAAATGAAGAAGGAAGTTGCAGAACACTCTGCTGCAAAGTCTGTTATGAATGTGCACAAGATCAACTGTTCCAAAGGTAGCATGAAAAAGCGTGTTTCCTCTGATAAGGAAACAAGTAGATACGAATCTTTTCAGGGCTTAAATATTTGGCATAGACCCCCTTTCAGGTCCAATATTCACTCAAGTCCATTTGGACATTCGCTCTGGGGTGAGCCTGAGAATTTTAGTCCTCCTTCGGTTCACGATAATTTTAACAAAATTGATGCTATGGGCTCCATTTTTCACAAAGGAGTCCGCTGTGATGGCTGTGGGATTCTTCCGATCACTGGACCAAGGTTCAAGTCTAAAGTGTAAGTATGATCTTGTGGTTTTATGTGGATTATTTTCATTATTCTATTGAAGTAATTGTCTTACTTTCTTTCTGCAGAAAATATGATTATGATTTATGCAGCATCTGCTTTGGACGAATGGGGAATGATCTAGATTACTGTAGACTTGATTTCCCTTTGCCTTACAAGCATCCATCGGCCTTGAAGAATTATTATGATCCTAAACGCAAATTACCACTGGTGCCTCTAGTGCATCCACCTTGGGCAATTAGGAAACCGATAGGAAAGCATTCTCGCTCTAGACTTGACTGTCGCTTCATTATGGATGTCAATATTATGGATGGGACAACGATGGCCCCATCGACCCCTTTTACCAAGATATGGCTGATGCGTAACAATGGGGCACTTCCATGGCATAATGGACTACAACTCCTCTGGATCGGGGGAGATCGGTTTAGTGCCTCTGATTCAGTAAAGATTGAGGTATTCATCTCCCAGTCTTGTTCTATAAAAGGTGTTATGCTTGTTGTGGACTTTTTAGTCATTGTTTTTGTTTTATTTTGACAGCTACCTATCAACGGTGTGGATGTTGGCAATGAAATCAACATAGCAGTTGATTTTGTTGCGCCGGAATTGCCTGGCCGATATGTTTCCTATTGGAGAATGGCAGAGGCGTCTGGGCAAAAGTTTGGACAACGTGTGTGGGT